AGCATACTGTCTGCACGCATAATGTCAGTCTGTATGTCATGACATTTGTGCACATGCGGTCGAGTTTAGCCCTTACATACATACATGCAAGACGTGTAAACGGGCGCAGTTTTGCGTTTGATGTCTGTATGTCACGGGCAAAAAACGTTGTAAGTAAGTCCGCGTTTGAACTTTGCGCATTCGCTGGATTAACTATGGAAAAGACGTACAAAAACGAAAATTTTCATTTGGATTTACTGAAATTTAGTATTTTTCGACGAGCTTTTCTTGATTTTCACAGCATTAAACTTTCCTAGTCGAACATCCGCCAAATTCCTGTTTGACATGCTCTGTGTAGCCGGCCGTGCCGCGAGCCGGGCCGTAATGAGGGACGGCTCCGCCCTCTCTCCCGGTCCGGGCTAGTCCGGACCATCCAACACTAATTCTTGCTCCCACTAACAGCACCAGTTCCATTATCAAGTGCCACCACCAGTACCACTAAGAGCAACAGTAAATTTATTAGTAGTACTTTTTGATAAGCTATTTCGTAAAGCACAATGACGCACAAGGAAACCGAAAGTTGCATTCAGTCGAGACTAAAAAAACGCACAGCGAAAACTCAGACTTGACATATTACAACGGCAACACTCGTCGCAATATCAAATGCTGATAAAACATTTCTGAATTAGGTACAGCCACTAGAATACTATTCTAAATACTAATACCTCACACACTTAAAAATGTGAACTCGGTTGTCGAGTTTTAAATCAACACCGCCACCCGCCGCTGCGGTAGCGTAATTATCACTCTAATCGAGGACAAATTCCCAAAGAAATTTCGTTTGGTCACGTGGCCAAGAGAGCGGTGTCGCTTTCCTCGCGGCGTATTTCTGTGTGCGGATAAGCACAGCAACAACACGGTCGCGGTTGTAGCGGCACTGTCGCGCTAATATGCCGTGTCGCTGTCGTCGCGCCGTGTTTCTGATTATGTTGGGGCATAGCACAAGCACGGTCGCGGCTGTAGCGGCACTGTCGTGCCTATATACCCTGTCGCTGTCGTCGCATCGTACTATTTGTCGGCCACTTCGCAACTTCTTTTTTAGCAGTCGCGAAGTTTGGTCCGCAACGAGACAGTGACAACAGACGCCAAGTTTGGTACAGATTGAGCCACTTCTGTTCGGGTGACTCTTTCATTGTTTCTGTTACTGTTTATTCGGTATCGAATGGTCCAAAATTTTTCCGGATTTCGATTAAATTTATGCCGCTCTTGTATCTATAAAGTATAAAGTATTACCAGAGTCCGAAATTTTCAGTCAGAACTCTCGTTCGTGCTCAGCTAATAGCTATTCATAGTACTGTACTGCGATCGATTATTGTGGATACTCAAATCTTCGCTTCGCAGAAAAAGGTTATTCGCTTTTTTGTCATAAGAAGAAGCGCAGTAAGCTAATAATGTTTTACCAAAGCTTGAGAAACTGATCATTCACAATCATAGAAACGCGTTCGGGAGTTCCACGTAAAACACGCCATTAGGGAGAGGATGGGCGAAGGTGGCCGGTAAATCAGTGTTCAAAAAAAGTTGACCAGTAACTGAGAAAACCAATCAAAAACGATGTTCAAGGTAACGACAGCGATGCCATTACGTATATTTATATATCACCGCTAATGTTAGTACTTCTGCATGTTTGGTAATTAACAGATACCTTTGAAAACGTGTTTGTAGATCTTACTCATCGTAGCACTTCTTTGTGCGTACGTGGAGGAACGGGCATGAAAACGATAAGCGCCTCGTATATCATAATTCGATTTATCTGCAGAAAATGCCATAAATGTTTTGTAGAAGTTATCTCCGCCTACAATGTACTTTTTATCACCTTCGGGTCCCGTTTACCACCTATAATTATGTAACTGTTTACCACGCGTGACCCGTAATACCTGTGCAAAACCACCTTCTGCCTACGCATACCACAACTTTTAAATACCTATGATTTGCACATATGATATTTTATAAATTTGCGGTCATAATATTTTTATGACTGAAAGGTTAAAGAGTCGAACTGAAAGGTTAAAGAGTTCAAATAAGCGTGATATACGTAGTATGCATAGGAGTCCGTCGTAGGTACTACTTTTCACCCAGCAGTTAAACAGCTCGTATTCCTTTCAAATTATTAATATTGCCGGTCAATATTCTTATTCCATGTTCAAAGTAGTAATTAAAATACTTAAGTATCTGCGACTTTAAATCGTATGTTGTGGGATCAGTTCCCTGGATGGGCACTATAGAGGACTTAGTCCTCAAAATTTAACCACAAAATGTATTAGATTTTTAACGTATATCAAAACAACTTTCTAAAGGCTGGTAAGGTACTCGTACTGACTGTATTTTCGTTAGAATCTCATGGTGTTGGGTTCTGAATTTTGTATCAAACGACCGTTATTTTTTCGGTACATTCGTGGATGATTTCTGCCGACGAAAGAATTCACTTGCAATTATGAAAGAAAAGAAATAATTTACTTAAGATACTGTGAAGTGCAATTGAATAATACTATGTAACGCCCAGTAACTTTGTTACCATATCAGTTGCCCGTGCTTTGGTTGCCAGTGTCAGTTTGGCCGGAACTAGAGCAATACCAGTATTACGGTAATGATAATAACAGTCACAAACACCCGGTTACAATGAAAATAGGGCGAATTTGGAGTACAGAATGAGTATCAAGAAGTTCCCAAGCATTGCGCCTTATGGAGCCAGAAGGTAACTGCTTGTAACGAACAGTTTGTCCGAAAACCGGTTTGAAAACGCGGCATTTTATTTTTGGCATCCCGGCATCGCTAATATAGTGACTTATTTCCATTCATGCATTTAGCACCTGTCATGATCAACTTTTTCCGTTGATAACAGTATGTAATGATTGGTTATTTTTTTTTAAAGGAAACGTTTTTTATTCGTAAAGCTAGTAACAGACTAAGCTTGCCTTTCTAGTTGGTGCAAATTATAAGCCCATGCAAAACTGGCTCTGTTCCTACAGTTTATGCCGTCCTTTTGCAGCGTCGGCAGTTCTTATACTTAGGTACCAAACACAACTGCGGTACTAAAAAGCGTAACGAAGCATCAACTGTCCACCGAAGCGCAAAAGAAACAATTGCATCTGTTGACTTGTATCTACTAATTAATATCAAAATTAAATTGTACTACAAAACACAAAAACGTAAATTACACTCCATAAATAAAAAAAGTAAAGCAGAAAATTATAAAGTTAGCGAATGATATGGATAACATGCGATCAGTAATTACGGCGTGAATCAACTTTCGCTGCTACAAGAAAGCATCTTTTTTCCTTTAAGTGCCAGTTTCTTTATCATTCAGTAAGGGTACTCAAACATCCTTTTAGAATGGCTCTATAACTTAAAGGGGCCAGATCCTTTAACTTTTGGCTCCGCCTCTGCACGACCATTGGACGGAAGGCTCTATAATTTTCCTCTCTTTAACTTAAAGTCCTTTAACTTAAAGTACCAAAATCGTTACTTTTCGGTATAGAGCCCGCTGAGTTAGAAATCGCTGGTGCAAACTGAAACGGATCTTGCATCTAATGTGCAGATATCTTTTGCAGACTACTGAAATTTGTTTCCAATGGTTTTAAACTTTCTGTCCTCTTGTGACGTGGGATGCGTAAACACCCATTCAAACCTAATTTATCATTAACCGATTTAGAGAAGTATGATTGGCTAGTGAGAGTTAAAGAGAAATCGCATCTATAACTTATAGAGCCGTTCATACAGGATGTTTGAGTACCCTTAGTGCCATAAGTTAATTTTGTTCTGTGGTTCGATTAAAGAACCGATCCAGTACACTGGAGCACACAAAGTAAAACATAAATCTTAATTGCATCGCGCCTAATTGTCAGCTGGCGTATACAGCGTGCGTACACGACCGCCCGCCGACATCCGCCGATCACACAGCGCACCACACGTGTCCATTTTCCGCAGTCCGCAGCCGCGCACTCATAATTAGGCGCGCGCGCCAACACCGTAAAACGGCGCTGTTTACGACGGCCCGGTCCCTGTTGTGACTGCATAATACCCACACCACCGCAGACCGGTGCTGGAAAGATTCGTGGCTTACGGTCGTTAGCGGCCTAGGCAGGTGTGCTGATTTATCGTCATAATTACGACCCGGCACATGTACATTTCGCTGTACGTACAAACCGTTTCTACACTGGCACACCGGCCAAAAGTACCACAAAACGTGCTGGCGCATAAAAATGCCAGCTTGACTGTCATAGGGAGACTTTTAATGAGCATCGGTGGACATAACTAATTTCCTATAAATCATACCCGGGTTCTGACATTACCGCATTGTACGCTGCGGCGCTATTTACCCGGTTTATTCTTCTATATTGAGTCAAACATCCGTATTACAACACACAGCCCAGACGCTTTCATTGCGATCAGTTGTGTACTGTGCACCGCGACTGTATTCCTTTTCATCCATACTGTGTATCCATAACATTTAAGCGGTCTATGTACATACACACCGGCGTACAATACCCGCGTTCACACCGGGGAATTGATCGCGAAAGCGACTGAAAACATATCTCCCACACAGCTTCAACATTTATCCCGCGTGTTGCGCATATATACACACTGCCGCACTTGACACCTTCCTGAATTGTTATCCGCTCTTGCTAACCGTATGACCCTTGATCGTGGGATGATGTCTTTTATCTTTACACCGGGAATATTATGGATAATCAGCGCATCCCCCGCCGCGGCTCACTTGACACCCCGCTAATCCCGCTTAGGAGGCCGTGCAGCGCATGCGCCGGCTATTAGTGACCTTTTCTATTGTGTGCGCCACCAGCGGCTTTCAGTATGACGGATGCGGTCGCCGGTAAGGGATTATAATATGCCGTAATTAGCGTCGATTACAATACAAGGGTTTCGTGTTTTGTGTTGGCGCGTTGATGGTTGTGATTAGTAAGGGTACGCGTCGCCGGTTGTGATGTTAGTCAGTGTGCACGAGAATGTCGGCGTTAACGTTGGTCTCGGCATCCACAGTTTCCGGTGCCCATCTGCCGGCCCATGCGGCTAACCGCGATACATGGGATCGGAAGATTGAATTCCTCCTGTCCATTATTGGATTCTGTGTAGATCTGGGGAATGTCTGGAGGTTTCCCTATGTCTGCTACAAGAATGGTTAGTTTGTTTTACTACTTGTTCGCGTTAAAAAAGGTGGCCGTTAATTTTGGCAAGATTATTTTGTCCAACTGTTCATAGTAATTAATATATAAACTTACCGCAATTCAGTTCCATGACTGCTTAATATAACAATTACATACAGCTGTTATTTTATTTCAGTATGCTGTACAGATAAGTATCTGTATTGCCATAGTGTTTTCTTTAAAATTTATACGTACAAAAAATATCTTCACAAAATATTGCATCCATTTACTGTTTTATTCCTGGTGTTCATTGTATAATTATTGGTTAATTAACTTGTCCATATCATACGGTAAAATGCGCATTACGATGCGTACTCGGCACTCCAAACTACATACTAAAATTAATAAGAATATTAAAATACAAAAGTTTCCTTAATATTATGAATCTATTTAAATGTAAGATTGTAAAAGTCTTTAATTGTTAAACGAACACTTTGCATGGTCACAGGTTCCTGTTGACTGTTATTGTGCTTGTAAAAAGTAAATTGTTTTCCTTTCCACCCGAAAAGTACGTAATTCTGTACTGTATGGATACAAACTTTGTTGGAATTGCAGGAGGAGGTACGTATAAATGCTGGAGCTTTTTCCATCATCAAATTAAAGCATGCTGACCGTTACGCTAACTTCCTGTTGTTTTGTGCCTCTCTCCGCTGGCACGAACGTCCACTGCAGGCGCCTTTCTCATTCCCTACACCGGTAAGTTGCCCGACCACGTATATATATAAACCAATGACTTTTTCCACTTCCGGTTTCCTGTCCTTTTACTGGATTAAAAACCCATTGATCGCATTGAGCTGCGATAAATAAAAGCTGTTCAGCGTGTATGTATCCTCTGTCTCTGTGCCGCAGTGATGCTGATCCTGGGCGGGATGCCATTGTTTTATTTGGAATTGGCGCTGGGACAATATTACCGGTCGGGATGTATCAGCATTTGGCGGTACATATGTCCGCTATTCAAAGGTACCAATGGCCAAAAAATGCTCAAGAAAAAAAAACACTTTAATTGTTACAATTACAATTTACAACCAACTTGGGTGGTTATTATCTCTTTAGGCGCAGTTAGCACTTACTTTTAATTTTCGTGATATAATTTACATTGCAACATAAATACGAGCTTCAGTTAAATACATTGATGGGCTATTACAAGATTCAAAACATTTTCTCAGTTGCACATTTTTGGAAGAAAGTTGAAGCAGCAGCAGTGTACACTGTACACTCTGTCATTTATTATGCAATAATTATGTAACTGTCAGCAAAATGCGATTAACCATACTTGTATCTAACAAATCTGTTTACAGCAGCTTCTAAGTTTCTAACATATGTGTATAAAGGCCGATTTCTTTATCATTCTCGAAAACGCACGATACTTATGTGGCTGATGCCTTGCTTGGTCCGTAAATGTTTCATCATCAAAATAATAACTAGCTATTTTCCGTAGTTCATTAGATTACTAAATGTAAGATTAGTACATAAATCCTTATACTGTTTATTTTATTTAATTGTATTACTATTTATAAATGCTAACAGATGTTCGGTATGCAAACTGAATTAGTTTGGTGTTAATTAGTTAAAGTATACAATTAAATACATGAAAATAAATCTGGATGGAACCCGATCGTTTACAGATTTCGACTAAAGAAAATTACTAAATAGAGCTGGTACATACTTTCTGGTTTCTGGAGTCATAGCGTTTTTTTAAAAAGTTTTTAATTACTGTGGCACAGACTTTCGTTGCGATAGTGTGCGGACAAAGTACTTAATTTTTATTATAAAATGATACTATTGTAAACGTTTTTTTATGTACACAGGTGTGGGATTTGGGATTTGTGTGATCGCATCGTATATGGTACAATCCCTTGCGCTTCGTGTTTCGACCATCATGTAATCACGATGTCGGCGTACTTATTATCCTGTGATTGCAGAGTTTTTATTATAATACAATTATTTCCACGGCAATATATTATATTGTGGCCTCTTTTCAAGCGGAATTACCATGGGCACGTAAGTGAAAAATTACCCACATATAAACATACTTGTAGTAGCTAATCAATCGATTAAACATGAATGGTGGCGATATGGCGACGTGTACAGTATACAGGAACACGCTACTCGATCGTAACTACCGCATACCGTATTGCACAATAACTATTTTTGGATCGTTCGCTGCTTCTTAACTGTTCACTATCACTCTCATTGTTAATCCGCCGTTTTCGGTGTGTATGAGATTGCTATAATACGAGTATATGTATATACTTGTAACAAGTTGTATGTATTTTATATTGTTTTAAAAACTGTATGGACATCCCTACCAAGAACAAAGATCAATCAATATTTCACTTTTTTTCCGCTGATGTACATTGTACATAAGATAGAGTATATTCGAAATTAATCAAGCGGAGGCTTGCATATCCCGTACGACATATAAACCTGTCGCAATTTACTTACCATCGAGGCACATTATCGTTTTGGAAACCTAATAACCTTCCACAACATCGGGAGTCTCGCGCGTGTATGTTTGACAATTAGTTAGTTTGGCCACGCTCCGAACAGGCCGGTGTCATACAGCGGCGGAAGCGTTTGTAATCTTTTGAAGCCCTCCTCGGCTGATTCCTCCTGGGAATCCGCTGCACGGCCCGTTTAACCGTCGGGCCGCAGGTATCTTATCCAGGAAATTATTCCCGGGTGAGCCCTGCGCGCGTTCCAGGTTACGCTCTCCCATCGCAGCTAAACACCGGTCTGTACTGTAACTTTCACCGGACTTTTCCCACCTGACTGCGCCGCCACACTTAACCCATTCCGCGAAGTGTGTGCGCCCCGGTAGTTTCTTTGTGATAAAGGGCGTCTAATCGGCTTCGAATGCGCCGGTTTAGTCGGGTCTGCTTAATCTTCATTAGAAATTCCGGCTACGCCCGCAAGCTTTTGGTCCCTTTTGAAATGATGTGAAATTAGATCCGAAATTTAGAAAAACGATTTTTAAATGATTTTATTCTCTGACAGGAAAACGAAATCATTAAAAAATACTTCTAAGATTTTTGCATTTCGGACATTTTTACAATAGATTCGCATACTGGACACTAGAAGACAGTATTCTCTGCGTTGTTTCACGTTAGAAAACTTAATGATTTCTTAATATAAATTCGTATATGAGCTTGTGTAGACGCTTACTATTACTTAATCAGTTTCGAAAAGCTTTTGTAATGCGGAACAATTCGCGAAGAATACTGTGTACCTGGTGTCCTCCGCCCGGTACGCGAATCCATATTGTCAAAATGTCCGGAATGCGAAAAATGGCGAAGTGTTAATAGTTACTGTTGTAAAAGCATCGCTCTTGTCAAAAGCTATTTTTATTGTATTTTGTTTCTGTTGATTCGGCATTTAATTTGATCGACCTGCAGTTTTTAAACTTTGCGCTTCAAACCGTTTCAAATCACTGAAGGCCGGTTAGAATTTGACATGATTTGATTTGAAGCTAAAAATGTGAAACGTATGAAATTGTGATGTTCGCCCTACGCCACGCCAGTATGACAACCGAATTATGGATGTTATGCCGCTGAACGTGTGACATTTTACAGATTGCAATCACACATGGAACACTGCCAACTGCAGTCAGAACGCCAGCAGTGCCAATGATTCGTCGCGCATCTCACCCGCGGAGGAATATTACTTGTAAGTCTTCCTGACCCGGCGCACTACTCTAATCGCTCATTTCCACTTGACTCGCGATTTCCGCTCATCCCAGTGCAGCGACAATCCATACATGACATATGGGCGTGCAAATGATCATCGTCTTACGTTTAATGTCTTCCTCGTGTTTCTCATTAAATATGAACGACTTTTCTGCGGGCAGCGAAAATTGTTTCTTTCAAGTTTAAACGCGTTGGTTATGGGAGCTGCGTAAAAAAGCGTATTTGGTGTGTATAGCGCGTGTGTGTAGGCTCTTATCAGACGCAGCCTGTCACGCATGATTGGCTGCGCTGCCAGACCGAGCGTTGGAATGTCAGCCATTTTGTGTGTATGAGAGCAGAGGGAGAGAGTGAAAGACTGGTGCGCTGATCGGCATTGTCGCTCGGTGTCGTAATAACATGCCCATCAATCAACGTGTCAAGACGGACTCGCGCTACCGTAACATAAACAGTTTTGCCAGCTCCTGCGATTTTACATAACTACGCATATGGAAAATTTCGTCCAACCATCGAATAAAAAAGTTTACCGGCATCATAGACACGTTTTCAAAACGTGTTAGCCGTTGCCGTTTAAGCACTATTTCGCCCAGAATAAATTTTTTAAACGGTGCAACATATAACATGATTTCCCGATTTCCGTAGGCTTTTCCTTTAGCTATCTCAGCCTATCTGTAATTTGTTTGATTTTGCAGTCGGCAAGTGCTGGAAATTCACAAATCCGATGGCATCCACGACCTGGGTCCGCCACGATGGCAGTTCGTCTGTGGACTGGTGGTGGTGTTCATAATGGTGTATTTTGCACTCTGGAAAGGTAACTGCAAATTTCTTTATCGACCTGTGAAATCCGTTCGCAGACAGTGGCACCTCCAATATTGTCGGTGATCAGCGAGAGCAGCTAATTTGATGGTTTAGCTCTTTGTTCGTTTGAAAATCTTTATGCTGTTATTATTCATTGGTCACGTGACCAATGAAGAGAAACTTCTTTAAATGTTTTGGTAACGGATGCACATGATCCGACGAATCGGACCATTTACAACATCAACTTATTTGCCGACAGTATCGAGTATCGAATCATCCATAAAGGCAGAATGCATGCAGCCTTCATCCATATAAATTATAGATTTCATAGTGCAGTGGCAGTCAAATATACGCCTTAGACCAATCCAAACTTGACTGTGCCAGTAGCAAATTGCTAATAACGGCGGGTTTCAGATTTTGATCAGTTAATTTTTATACTTACCAAAATCTCCTTGAATAGACATCTTTCTCTGCTTTTCCAGGACCAAAGAGTTCGGGGAAGGCCGTATGGGTGACGGCCCTATCGCCTTTTGTTGTGTTATTCATCCTGCTGATCCGCGGACTGACCCTGGATGGATCCCACGACGGCCTCAGTACGATCCGTACTTTCTCTCTCTCTAACACAAAAAGCACAACAGCTAATACGGATGCCGTTGTCTTACAGAATATTTCCTGGAACCCGAATGGAGTCGTTTACTGGCCGGTGAGGTGTGGTCGGACGCGGCGGCCCAAGTTTTCTTCTCCCTAGGTCCCGGCTTCGGCGTGCTGATGGCGCTGGCCTCGTACAATCCCTTCCACAACAACTTCTACCGGTAATGCTCGCATACCCTTTACTCGATCGGTACTTCGATGTTTTTCGCATTTCGGACGTGTCCTGTATATTGATTCACATACCGGACACCAGTCACGGTATTCTCCGCATTGTTTGTTCCACTTCCACATGACAACTTCTCAAAAAATTTTTGAATACACACGCGATATACTCTGTATATTGCTCTTATACAAATCTGCACATGGGATTAATGAAAAATTAGCAAACTTTCGAATGTGGAAGCCAGATGAAGACACCCTCTCTCTGGTGTCCAGTACGCGAATCAGTATGATGTACGCGTCCGGAATGCGATACACCTCGGAGTACTCGTTCTGTATATTCGATCGATACCGATGGAATCTTCTTAATTCTACAAAAGGCACAGACGTGACACTCAATGTCATGACCTTTACCGCATCCATAAGGATCGTGTACTGGGCTCACCAACCTAATTTACCTTGTCACACTGTCTGTTGGGGTGTTTGTAGGGATGCCCTCTTGACGAGCTTCATCAATTTCTTCGCCAGCTTCCTCAGTGGACTGGTGGTGTTCAGTGTTCTAGGTTATTTGTCGCACGTAACCGGCAAAGAGGTTAAGGACGTCGTGTCCGATGGTACAGTACACAACATGCTTGACACGTTTCTGTATGTATCACTGACTGGTCTGTCAAATTAGGTCCGGGATTGGTTTTCGTTGCGTATCCGTAAGTCTGTATACCGACAGTGCAGCTATTTAAAGGAGTATAATTATATGCCTTCAAGGTCATATGATGCGTTTTCTAACAGGACCGCCATCGCAACGATGCCGGGTGCTCAGTTCTGGAGTGTTATCTTTTTTATCATGCTGGCCTCGCTGGGATTGGATAGCACGGTAAAGGTCATCAATTCGCTTTTTGCTCGGAAATACAGTGTTTACACTTTCCAGTTTGGTGGACTGGAAGCCATTTTAACGGCAATATCCGATGAATTCCCCGTACCTTTTGGCAAACATCGAAAACTTTTCTGCTTAGGAATCTGTTTGTATTGTTTCTTGGGCTCATTACCAACCACTACTTATGTACGAAAGTCTGCCTACTAATTGGAAAATTATTGAAAACTGTCCATAAAAAATTCGCTAAAAATAACAACATTTTTTGCATGTTTAGGGTGGACAGTACGTCATTACGCTATTAGGTAAGTACACCGTACAAGACGCAACAAAATACCGAACAGATGAACATTATAATATAGCATCTATTTTTGTTGTTTTTTCAGACTTTTTCGGACCGACAATCGCAATTCTGTTCATTGTATTTGTGGAAGCAGCGGCGTTTTGCTGGTTTTATGGTAAATTTAAAAATTTTCCGCTTCGTTATGTTTTTACCTAACTGGAATTTTTTATGCTTTCGTGCAGGTATATCGCGGATATCACATGATGTTAACCTAATGTTGGGCCACAAACCGGGATTATTTTGGATTATATGTTGGACATGTATTAGTCCTGTTTTCATATTGGTATAAATTCAATGATATTACAAACTCTAATCAGTGACGGCTAATTTGATAAATACAATGACAGAATCGATGGGGTAATATTGTTTAACTGCAGGCAATCTTCATTTTGACCCTGACCAACTACACGCCGTTGACCCTGGGCAGCTATGTGTTCCCCGAGTGGTCGGTGGCGTTGGGATGGGTGCTGACCTTCTCGTCCATCCTCTGCATTCCCGGCTACATTATCATCGCGTTGCTCACGAGAAAAGGGACACTTCTCAGTGTAAGTTACCTTACATTTAATATTTATTTTAGAGGACAAAAGCAGAATGATAGGTTCTTTCTACGTAAAGTAAAATAATAATTTGTAGTACAGTGGCTGATAAGTCTGCGAATGCTGTCATTACGAAACAGCACTCTAAGGAAACGTCGGATTTAAATTTCAAATTAAATAAGGACAGAGATTTTGGTTACTTTTTCGATGTTAAAGATTTTAACGGTAAAGTAGTATGTATACCCGCGTTTGTACTTCATACCATTTTGATATATCAAAATGGTATGAAGTACAAACGCGGGTTTGTACTTCAAAAGATTTATTAGACAATAGCTATATAGCTATTGTCTAATAAATCTTTTTATTTATTTTATGATTTCATTACACAGTATTAGCACACCAAACTGCATCGAATAATTCCATTAAATTACGATACTACGAGCGATAATCAGCGAGCGAGCGCTCGTATATTAGCGAGCATAATCAGTGATATTCAAAAAAGCTCCATTCTTAATCTTATTTAAAAAGTGCAAAGTGAATATTATTATCGTCGATCACAGGATGCGGCTGGGGCGTGAAAGGAGCAACACAAACGTTTTGTATAAATAATAAAGAATTAATGACAGCAGAATTGTAAGGCAGAAAAAACTGGCGAAAATTAATAAACAGTAATTAAATTTGGTGCAAGAAAGTAATTTCTGTGCAAAGGGAGAACATTCGTATAGAAGTACTAAAGTAATCTTGTGCTTGTACACTTTTCAGCACTAAAATCCATGTAAAACTTATTTTCTAATCAAATTATAGAAACTCGCACGTAATTATTGAAATTTTTACTGTGAAGTAACGTGCCCGCGTTTGCACTTTTGAACCGGATGACTAAGTACTTCTGTTGCCAGCTGTTAAATTTTATTTGATTTGTAATACAGAAATCCGTATTATTTAAGCGTAAATAAATTGCAGAAATTTCACAAGCTGATCCGACCGGAAGAGTTCACCGCGGAGCCCAGCGAGACGGTGGCCCTGAACAACGGCAAACACCTCGACACGGAGCACCCCCCGGTCATCACCTTCCCCACCTTCACCATGTCCCCGCCCACCACCACCACCACCAGCTCCACCTTCGACTAGCCACCCCTGTGTTCTCATCCGCATTTGTATTCGTTCGACGAATGTGATTGCTCTGCGCGGCACTTTTAATTAGACTACACAGTATAAACAAATCCTTAATAAAACTGACTAGTCAAGAGACCCAACACAGACGCGCACAACCCTCTCCGTCGTCAAGCACCAAAAACAGATTAAATTAATTAAAACCATACACCCCGAGATTAATCAATCAAAGCAGTCACCGGACTGGACAGATCAGATTACACCAAAACGCAGACAATTACACCAACACCGTACGAGGCTGCACATATCGAAGATTTTTGGAATGAGAAGTTGCCGATTTGGTTAGGGAAGGGAGTGTCGGACTCTCAAGTCTCCTGGATGTCCGTGTAGCGGACGCGGCCGGCGCTGGATCCGCTGGTTAGTCCCGTGCGCTCGTTGGCGTCCCCTGGTCCTATTAATACACAAAGCTCTTCAATAACGATTTATCTGGGAAAGACCCATCTACATTACAAAAAAAAATCGAGGCCGGTAGACACTAATCACAACGATTCAAAATTTAATACAAAAAAATGAGTCAGAATTACTGAAAACCCCGAAAGTCATGGCTTCGGCGACGGCCTGTCCAAAAATCAGAAAATTTGCGACTGCATATCAAGGCAATTCAACAAGGTATGAAATACATCATCTGCATTTGAGGAATATTTAAAAAGTACTCCTACAGAGTACTATTCCTGCTAATAGAGAGAATAATATATTTCTAACAATAGAGAGCTTTTTACCACTGTCGACTACCGAGCCTACATTAAAGGCCAGAAAGCATGGCAATTTCGTTGCATAAAACCACATATTTTGTAGTACAGTGGCGAGAGGTCCAGGCGTTATTCATCATTTCTACTAATGTGCAGCACTATAAAATATTCTGCCTCAATTCGATAACTGATAAACATGAAAAAAAAACGTTATTTTTTACTATTCACAGAGTAAACGATATTTGTATCTTTTTGTGAAAATATATTTTGAAAAATAATTTTTCTTGATACATATTTTTCTTTAAAAAATACAAACAACCGACAATGCTTTCCCAGCAGTTCGTTTCCTATCGTGTATTTACAAATTTTGTTATTACGGTATACTATCTACGAGCAGCTGCATTTTTCCCTGCACGTACCCAGCGGAATGGCCGCGCCCCGCACCTGATCGCGTCCGCCCTGTCCCGCATACCCCTCCGTCCGCCACTGCTGATCACTGGGCGGGAACTGGCTGCCGCCGCCGGTGGAGCTGGTCCACGGCTGCTCCGTCATGGGCGAGTAGCCGTCGCCCCCCGTGGGGGACGTCGCGTCGCCGGCGAATTCCTCCTGCGGCACGGGATAGTCTGATTGCAAGGACAGCACAGTGAGAAAAGAGAGTCAAACGTGATGCTCACACGTAGGAAGCCGTATTCACCTTCGTCCATTTTGTGGCGGGGCTTATATTTGCCGAAACAAAAATTACAACAGCAACAGCAGCAGCAGCATCCGAAATAGCACCCGGTAATCACTCCACAAAATATGAATAACGCCTACGAAATCGTACACGGCACTGATCATGCAACCGAAAATAAATGGAACAGCACATACAACACGAATTCCGTACAGCATCGGTATAATAATTACAGATTCACTTATCCGTATAACATTAAACAAAAATATTTATCGATAATCAACAACCAACGTTCATGTTCAAGTACATTCTGTACGATTACCAGTTGATTCGAAGCATTATTGTCATTACAGCATTTCTTTTGAAAAAAAGCGTGAGCTTGATGTTCCGTATTTAGTAAACCTTTAGTAGAGTATAAAAAAAGCGTGATTTACAAATGAGTAAAAAGTCGCCAAATTTTCGAACTGCATTATTAAAAGCGCCAAATACATACTCTAATCAGAAAATTAGTATTTATCTACCCATACAGTGTAAAGTCCTGACATATTCAGCGTTCAAATAGTAAGTACGAAAAACACCTACAATTAGGGAATTTTTCGTTTCTGTGCAGTACTATTTAATCATCACACTGCACAAAATCAGTTTAAATGGCAGCTAGCAACCAATAATTTTAAAAATTTGCTGGTAACAAAGTGAAAATTTGATAGAATAACTGGAAGAGAAGCCAACTTCAATACTAATTATTTTGCAAATGACGCAAAAGCTGAACTTCCTTCCATACTATTACTAAATCATGTTTAATATAAATTAGACATGCAGTGCGTTAAAATATTAACATTCGAATCCCCTGTGGCCTTCTGACAATACAAACAAGAAATATATACGAATAAAATCCTTCAACGAAAAAGAAAAATGTCCAAATTAATCTGTGCAAGCGCAACGGAAGGAAATGAAAGAAGCCAAAGCGTGTTCTAGACCATACTTTGCACCACTTGTTCTGCAGGAGGAAATAGGTGTGCGCGTTCTCTTCTCCCAGCTGTTCCGCGATGTACAAACCTAATGACAAACATAACAGCAATTACAAGTAGCACTTGTACGTGATAGTTCTACACAGTCGGCATTCCGCAGAATGAAGCGGGAAATTTTCAACACGAAATCGAATAACAAAAATTTTAACGCTTACTGTTCAAATGATGGCTACAATAGTGCAAATAATTCCATAAAAATTACAGCTCAAAATTGCACATGCACTTGCACAACCAGCACAGACTGCAACTCAAAAATCAAACCAATTAGAATTAAATATGTCACTTTTCTGATACTTCCACATTTATCCTTGAGAAAAGCAGTTGTAAACAATTTATCAGAAATATTTCAAAAAAATGTAAACAAGCAAACAACGCTAAATCGTGTCAAGCAAAAATCAGTAAGCAAAGTAAAGAAAAGCTACAAATACCCGTAATGATCTATATAAAAATTTGCAAAATTTATGTTGTGCCATTTGTCAATTCACTGTCTGTACCAGTTTAAATTACAACGCATAAAAAATAAGGGAAAAAAATGAGCCACTTACCAACCGATCCATACGCATCATAGATTTCCCGTTTGGTCGGATCGCTCAGCACGGAATTGGCGTAATTAACATCGCGAATCTGCCCAACACCAATCCCGTGATCAGTCCAACAGCACCGGGCCATTCGCATTTCGCACCGTTCCATACATTTGGTCAATTCATGCTCACTAATGACTGATATCGTACTATCCCAGAGCACTACGCAACGTACCCGATCGGCGGCGATGGGATCGTTGGGATTCTTATCCGGATGGTACTTCAAGGCCAGCTGCAAGGAATTCCGAAATCACGTATCAAAACCACCGTGTACAGCGTTCATGATGCACCCACGCGTCGATAGGCGCGCTTGATATCGTCCGCTCCTGCACCCTTCTCCAGACCCAGCTGCTGGTACAGCGACTGCCCCGTCGCCGATAATTTCCGTCCCCCGATCTCCGCGTCCATCCTTCACGGCGCTCCGGACTAAGGACAGCACAGATTATCATTATTATCAACGCTGCGAAACCAGTACCGAAACTAATCACTCGTGGGATGCAGTGAAAACACTCGCAGTCATTCGCAGTGGAAAACACTAAATACTGCAACTAACTGCTGACATTTTAAAGAATATTTCGCACTTCGTCAACCTTCCGTGCATGCCCTGACACAACCACAGCACCAGAAACGGATGTCATCAATGGAAAAAAATCAAAGAATAAATTATTAAAGTATTTCAATAATTAAGAATCGAAAAAAGCAAAATTATCTGAGTTTCCGAAGAAGTTCTACAATTTTTCACCTGTCAACAGGGAACCCAGTCAAGATCTAACTGCGACGTCTCCAGCCTTTTCTAATACTCCAATAAATGCAAAATATTGTACAGTTCAAAACCAAAACAACTGGCGCAGTAGGCAAAAAGATAAGATAACAGAAAAATTGAAGAACTGCGGCAGTCAGACGAAATCCCACTGAAAACTGCAGAAGCACCTTATGATCCTTATCACAACTTGTGCCAGGCTGCTGCAGCCACTTTGCACAGGTTCCCAGCCTGCAGGCAATTACGCAACCGTGCAAACGTGATACGACCAACTGCAGGATATCACACAAATGAGAATTATCCGCAGAAAAACGCTGTGCACGCGGGGAGAGTTCAAAATAGGCGAGAGAAAGTAGAAACTGGGGATGAAAAACGGGATCAGATCGATGATCTCTGTACAGTCACTACGTGACTACAGTGTACAGTTGGCACACAGAGAAGAGAGGAAAAGGCGAAAGCCAATGCACAGCCGGAAGCTGGCCGACACCCGCCTCCGTATGGCCGCTACGGAAATTTATTTGCAGCAGGCTGCTGAACGCTTGGCATCATTAACGCGCCTAGCACGGTGTGCAGGGGTCTTCCGGTCGCACCTGTTCCCATACTTCCAGTATTTTTATACTCTATAAGAATGTTTTTGTAAGTATTTATTTTTAATTTACAGTAATTACAAGAATTTTTGCTTCAGTTTGGGAGCACTCCGGTCGTTCTGTAACGAAATTTCCCAAACGTCTCTGTGACTTCCGCCCCTTTTCTGGCAGTCTCGTGCGGTGACGCCACTATGGCCAGCACTTGCAGTGGCAGACGTTGCACGACTGTTGTACTTTCTTTCTTTTCTCAGTTTTGAGCCTTAGATCTCATCTTTCGTTTTTCTTTCTCCCACGCTTTCATAGTAGTTACTAGTTACTAACAGATTGCTGAATATACTTTGAGATGCTCCTGCCGCGCTTAGCTTGTTATTCTGCATGGTGCGTCTAGGCTGCATCACTGGGAGCACGGAACGGTCCACACCACTGCTTATTTGATCATAGTGACATAAGTGACATATAATAATAATATGTCACATATTCCATCGAAACCTGGATGAAGTACTCGGTTTAAACGAATAATTACACGTTTATCGCACTCTAATCTTTCCTCGCATTGCTGTGTGCGGGATATTGCGCTGTTTCCGTGAGCTCGCGCGCGATCAGCTCCATTTCGCTCGGCACCAACACCGTGTTTCCATTGACTACGGACGCATGCTGCTGGTGCAGCGCGAAAACGGCCAGCGGGAACTGGGTTATGTGCAGGACATCAACGGCTACGACTTTTTTTGGTTGATTTCGACAATGGCGCAATTTGAATGCCGAACGGATTCGTTTACAGCATTCCATCAAGTTTCCGGAAGTCGCCTCACTTCGCACTGTGGTGAGTGTGGTCAGCATGACGAAGAAGTTTTAGTTGCAGTTCTGACTTCTGTTAATTTTACCGAACCATAACGGAAGTAAATATATATATTTAAAATTTACAATCATTTAATTTATTAACTTGAGCAGACGCACGTTGATGTTGTGTTGCAGTGAAATGGTCGGACACTGGACAGTGTAAAATGTGAATTTAGTTCGGAGTTGGTGGAAAAACGATGCATACTTAAGTCTTAAGTATAGCATACAGGTTAAAATTTGATTTTGTTACAGTATGGTATCACACTCGAAATAGCTTATCAGTTCGTTCACTTCGTTATGAAGTCAATTAGCGTGGTATAAGTACTTGGTATGGTACAATTTATATAATAAAAAAATGTGGTACATATTCAAAAAAATTGGTGTACTTCTGTTGTGTGTTAGCAATTTAGCACTAATTTCGAATTCATTTTTGCTGGACGGTAAGGTTGCCAGCATCGCGCAAACGGCCACGTTCACTGAAGAATTCCGTTAGTACTCCGGATATTCCGCACGTGTCCCCTACCGCCAAGTTTGCACATGCTGATGCCCAGTATGGCAGTAACGGCCGCGCGCAATGTTTCCGGAACATCCGCGGTGTGTGGATTAAAAACGTGCAGCAGTTACCCGACGGACGACAATCTCCAGTGAAGGGATACGATTGATCATAGGATGGATCTTCGGCAACTGGATGCTGCAGATTGTTTCGAATTTTGACAAGGATACATCATACATGGATGTTAAGCAGCACGGTCCGCCTAGTCTTTCGTGTATAACGAGTTTGTATGAAAACAATAATTAGCATGTATTCGATTTCGTGTTGAAAATTTCCCGCTTCATTCTGCGGAATGCCGACTGTGTAGAACTATCACGTACAAGTGCTACTTGTAATTGCTGTTATGTTTGATTAGGTTTGTACATCGCGGAACAGCTGGGAGAAGAGAACGCGCACACCTCGATTCGACGAAAACCGTCGAAATACCGAAGTATCGCAACAGAAAATACAGAACTGATAAAAACATTATCAAGTTTTCTAATGTGAAACAACGCAAAGAATACCATGTCTCTGGTGTCTGTAGTATAAGTAACTGCAAGATGTTTATGTAAGCCTATGACAAACGGAAGAAGCGCTTTTTAGTAGCCAGAAATGCGTCAGTTATTTTTTTTCATCAACGATACGAGGACGAGCTCGTATGCCATTATTAATGCAGAATGTACAAAGTGACTATTGCGTTTTTGCTGTACGTTTACATTTAACGTAGGTATGAATTAAAGGGAGTATTCACTAGTGATGTGCTACTAAATTAAACTAAATAAATGCTATTTAATTAGTAAAAGCTTCCCTAAAATTAAATGTGTAGTAAACAGTAAAGTTTTATGGCAAAATTAGTAAAAGTAAGTAAATATTCAGCTACAATAGTAAATAGTAAGTAAATAGTAAGATTCGGCTTTCGCTAAATAAAAGTTATTTACTAATTCATTTACTAATCGAATTTTAGCGAATAACCAGATGAAAAACTCGTTGCTGTACTGGGCAGGTTCATAAATAACGGCGTTGCATACTGAAGTTGGTGCCTTAACAGACGGTGGTATCGCTGTTCACGTAAACGCAATGTACCGCCAACCCGAACCTGCGGTTACGTTACGTATAATAATAGAAACTTTAAACACTGCAGTGCAGCAGCAGCCTGGCAAGCCGATTGTGCAGTTTGCAGCACAGTTGTTGTGCTAGATTTTGCCTTTACAGATCGCATAAATATTAACGTAAATACAGTACAAACACAGATTCGCATAAATACAGTGTATTTTCATGAAATGCATAAGCGTCCCAAACATTGAGTTAAAAATTAAACAAGTTTGTTTAGTATAAGTAATTGGTTGGGAAAAATGGGAATAGTAAGTAATAGTAAGTATTTCAAAAATTTTGGGTTTGATAGTAAGTAATAGTAAGTAAAAGTTTTGGAATATTAGTAAATAGTAAGTAAGGTAGCAGGAAGCTGTAGTAGCACATCACTAGTATTCACTTTACTAAAGCTCATCGCTCAAATGCTCTACTTAATAAGCATTCAGTGTAAGGCTAATTTAAGTCTTGACCGCTGGAAGGCTCCTATGGCTTGAAGCAGATTTAAATAATTGGCGGCTGCAAGAAAGAGAAAACAATTCATATACTCGTATAATGATTAAAGTGCGCAGCAGTGAGAAGAGTAGGAAACAACTTGTACGAGAAAATAACGCCGAGGATGTGGTACTGAGTACTCTTGTGTTTTGCTGGCTGAAGGCCATTTTATCAGTTTTCAAGAGATAAACTGGTTTATAGAACAAACCTAACCTAACATGTCTTACCGAGATTCATTAAGCTGTCTTGCTACCTGACTGCATTATTAAAATTCACTATGGTTTTCGGTGAATACGCTGTCATCCTGACAATTGCAAACCATTTACGGTTTTATCTGTATGATTGTGTCAGTAAATAACGTTTATGCATTCCGGCTGACGTATCTTTACAATATTAAGCTGTAGTTCGGAAGTTCTGCAACGACCTACATTATCCAGCAACCAGCTCTGCCCTAGGTCATCGTTTGAGGTTAGTTACCACAGTTCTCCAGCAATATAATGGATATTGTTCTTATAGTTTTCTTAACTATTTGGAAGGATGTGTGTACTTGTAGCTGTATTCTAAGTGTTTTTTAGCAGAATTTTCAATAAGGCGTGGTGGCAGTAAATTGCGTTTTTTTAGCCGCCAACGTAAACCAGTTAAAACAACACACACATTACAAATGTTCACTTGTCGCAGACGATTGTTATGCTGCTAGGCAGCTAGGTGGAAGAATTCGATTTTCATAAACGCTAACGAGGGCGTAGCCAGAAGGTTCCACTCACCAAACGACCGCTCGAACTTGCTCAACAACTTACGCACTCCATTGTTCCAACGCTAACGAGACATCCTTAATTAAATTTTCATTTCTGTGAAAAGACAAAGCGCCGCAGTCTGGAAACCAGAAATTAAGCTGTTGTTAGCGATTATGTATGATAATTCCACGTCGACCACCATAACGGGTGCATCGTTACCGGGTGCCTACAACGCCTCAGCGGCCAATGGCGACCATGCCGTCACCTGGTGGGAATACGCGCCGGGGTCCAATCAACACGCCAAAGACAGCGCTGTTCTATTATACGTCGTCTGTTATCCCATTCTGCTGACGGTGTGCACGATTGGCAATATTTTGAATTTGATTGTCCTGATCGGCTACAAGAAAAAATGCACCACCAACTGCTACATGATGGCCATGGCCATAGCGGACATTGTTTTTTCGTAAGGTTATCTTACTTGCGCAGAGTACATTCATAATTATTCTTTGCAGTTGTGGTACAATTTGTTTACGGAGTTTCTTTAACAGGTGGTCCAATCTGCCAAAATACAATGCACTGACCAGTCAAGTTTTGCAGCGACCGTACAACGTGGCGGTCAGTCGAGCCGTGCATCCGTATGTTATCTTCGCGAAGCACTGGAGCATGATCTATTGTGATTGGTCAGCAGCTTGTTATTTTTAATTCTCCATAATTTTAAATTTTTTTTAAAATACTGTTCAAATCCGAAATATACAGCTCGTGATTATTTTTCCAGGGTGCTGATTGCGTTTTCCCTGGAGCGTCTTCTAGCGGTCCTTATACCGCTCCGCGTCAAATGGCTTCTCCGACCACGGACGGCCCGCATCATAATCGTGGCGCTGTTTTTCCTAGCCGTCATCTTTGCCATGGAGCGCTTCGTTCTGGAATATATCCGCTATACATACAATGACTTCCCACCGTGGATTAAACGGTGGAACGAGATCGAGAATATCGCCGGGGTAAGGTTGCTCTTATCCCTTACCGTTGTATCAATTTAGCTACTTCATGCTGAACTTGTGTTCCAGTTGACCGTCGTCGTGGGGAACTTCTCGAGCCTCTTCATCATCGACACCATGATCATCATTGCACTGCGCCGTCACCGCTCCGCCGTCGGCCACATTCGCACCCAGCAATCCAACCGGCAGCACAACAGCAACATGATCGTACTAACCGATGTCGCATTGTACCTCATCTTCACCTTCCCTACGTTCGTCCTCAACTGCTTGATCGAGGCGACCAACGTCAAGATGTACAGTCTGACGCCGCAATCGCGGCTGATTGCCGATCGGATTTGTGTGGTGCTGCACCAATGCGGCCACTCCATCGGATTTTATTTATACCTTATCGTGAGCAAACAATACCGGGAATCCTTCCAGCAGATGTGTAGCCACGTCGCTTGCCTGGGATGGGCGAGAAAACACTGGAGTGTTGCCACGGAATCGGCGGCTAGTTGGAAATATCGGATGTCGGGAAAAGTTGGGGGTGCTCGGTATTCTCATCCAGCGATAAGCCAGCAGAGCAGCGTTTCCGAAGACTTTGTCAAGCAAAAGCTAAGAGCCGGTAAAGCGTTGGTGAGAAGCCCATCGACCGACGTCTCCCTGATTGACCAGGTTCAATGCAGCGAGATCCCGATGACCCCGGTGGCGCATGCAGCAGATGTGCAGTTCAAAGTTTAGACAAACCTGAGATTGGGGCTTTTTTTCGCCAGCTCGGGGAGTTGCTGTTTGATTCTGCTAGCGCTGTATGTTTCGTACCTCTCATAACTCATCAGAAACGATTCGGTGATCGGTTAAGTTAAGAAATTAATGAATGCTCAGGATTGATGATACGCTTGTGGGTCATGATTTATGTTGTCGACATAAATCGTAATACATAATTTAATTATGCATAAGTGAAGTGGCACAGTGAAGATGTGAGATTCTCGTCTTATGATACGTCTTATGGCACTATAGTGCTGGATGTATAATTCTTAAATTACCTGAATAAATTACGTTGTTCAGAATCTTCGAGGTGAATCTTCGCTGTACGAAGTGAATTTTCACAATATCTTCTTTTATCGCTCTGGTTTGATGGATGTTGGATATGACTTTGTTCAGTACGTTCACAAATGACTGCGCCTGCTCACAAAGCATCTAAATTCTCTAAGTTCCAATTAGCACGCGAAAGATCAGTTCCCTCTTTTAATCTCAAGACGTGTTAACGCTGAGAACGAAAGCAATTAAAGCGGCTGTATCTCCCATTATGGGTTAATAATGCTATACTGCCACCACTATACCGACGTCATTGACAGTGACCACAAATTACGCGGACCATCGCCATTTCCTCGTCGCACTAGTCTTACACACCGGTAAATTACGCACGAGCATGCAAACCAGGATGCCTACAGGCGGCGAAGAATGCCGCACTATACAGTATACAGTGATTAAAAATGCACAGAATGACGTTTTAAGGTTGGGTAAGTAGTCTTACCATAAATCAATGCCGGTCATTTTTGCACACTCAACTCACACTCGTGACTCGTGAGTTATCGTAAAAGACCGCCCAATATGACTTAAGCTGTACAGGAAGTACTGCAAGTACAAGTCTGTAATGCGCGCGATGGCTTTGTTCGCCGCACAAATATCTGTATAATTACAGTGTATTACCTGCCCTAAAACCACGATACAAAAACCGGTTTTTCTATGCTTCTGTTACTAGCTTTGCAATTAACGGCGGCGCGTACATTTGTTAACCACCGTATTCACAGAATACGGTGATTAACAACTGTAAACTACTCTGTAAACTTGGATTTCATAAACAATGGCTAATTCTGGGCGATGGTACTGCCAATGAGCAGCAGTGAGGCAGAAAAAATGTCATTTTGTTCGGCGAGACACCGTCATGTCCATGGCAGGCGATTTCCATATTTGCCATGAGAATGTTCCGCGCATTGTGCGTTGTTAATTTATTCTTTTTTAAGTGTACCAATTATAACAGTACTTTATTTGTATTTCAACCCAAGACCGACGTTGATTTATGGTTATTTAAAAATCTCGTCAATCCAGTTGACAAAAACTGCACTGTAAATTTTGCACATTTGCGGCACTTTAAATACGTACATGCGCACAAACACGTATCTGACCAACGTAGTCAAACATTTCCGGTTTAGCATTTTTTTCTTGTATTTTAATTTAAATTGCTTAACATTGCCGTGTGGGAGTTGGGAAACACCACTAAACGGCATCAGCACAATCATAAATTATTTCGATTTTGACACCTAAACTTCCGCAGTCGCCGCAGGGACTAATTTCCTCTGCAAAAAACTAGTGGGTTAAGTGAGGCAGTTAGTACTGCACCTAGACACGCGTACGACCGGCGGTACAATAGGTTGATGTAAAAATTCGGTGAAAACCCCTCGAAATCGCCTGTGTAACGGAAGTATACATGCGTGAAATGCGCACAAAAGTCATACTGAAGCAGTCCGATTTCCCCTGCAGCTAACTTGACCAGTTTCTTAGTACAAAGCCATAGCGAAGCCAAATTGACTCTTATTACGTTGCCATTCACGCACGCCACTGTTTCAAAGTGCCTTCTTGAGGTGATATAGATTATCATGTTACATGATAAATAATGATGTGATTATGAATTCGGAAATATTTTCCATTAAAATCTGGAAACGTTTTCTAAAAAATTCTGGACTACGAATTTTTACCGGTTTATGGAATACGATTGATTATGATTGTGGATTCATTCCTGTAATGGAATACACACTGTCCGTCAAAGCCATTTGTGCTTGAGGTGTGGAAGTGAAAAAGTGAGTAATGATACGCGTGTATAATTATGCAAAATTAAATTCTTCGACCGCGCCATCTCTTTTTCTCTTATTACCGATTTTTTTGGCTTCTTTCCGCCGCATCAAAGGCTCTTATAAGTTGTGACCACCCCACGAGTGGCGGAAAAAGATGAAAAGTCTGTTGTGTGAGAAAAGAAGACGGTGCGAGTCGAAGAAGATACTATGTTTAGTTAAAACGCAAAAGCTTTGCGCAACAAATTGATATATTCATAAGCTAAATAAATGTAAGCATTTAAATTACTACAACAGCAATATTTTTATGATATGCCGTATATACGTGTAACAGCGTGTTTATAGGGCTACCGAAGCGATCGAAAGTGATACATATTTTTCGTATGATTTTACAGCACTGATTTTTGTCCTGTAATACTGTATTCAGTGCTCATAAAACGTATTTTTAATGGAAATGTTGTTACAGGTTCATTATTTCTGAATACCCACTTTTTGTTGTGGACCACACAGCCAGGTTGCAATCAACAAGGAAAAACTCGATAAACAACTTGTGATTGGTACCCCCCGGCCGATCAGATTTACCGCTTGACGCCTGTCAAAAAAACTTTGGCATCAATTTTTTTTATCTATATACAGTATACGACATGGCCAACTACAGTGATGTGGGGTTCAATTTCACGCAGTCTCTCTTCGATAGTCACATGAGCGTCAACAAATACAACCAATCACATGATAAGGGCCCGTTGTGGTGGGAGTACGTGCCGGGATTAACCAATCCGACCGTTAATGGCTCCGTTGTGTTTTATTCCATCTGTTATCCTTTTCTTCTGCTGCTATGCACGGTTGGCTCGACGCTCAATCTCATTCTGCTCACGCATCCCAAGGTCAGGAAGAACACCACCAACTGCTACATGACGGCCATGGCCATCGGGGATCTTGTCTTCTTGTAAGTCTCTTATCTCACTCTATTCACGCTTCACGCTGTCGGCGAGCAATGACTCGACATTATTTCCCTGTCAAAAGCGCGAGTTGACGGCTAGCTTACTGATAGATGCGCATTGCTTTGGGATAGAAAGTATAGAACAAAAGCAGTTTTGCCATCGATCAGATGCGCACGAGGTGCTCGTGTCCCTTTGTCGTACTTATGCACTGCTTCCTTGCGTCTTGAAAGCAAAATACCCGGATAGGGTAAATCTTTTTCGGTTTCTGAATAATGAGCCAACAAATGTGTGGCTGCTCTATTAAATTTATGAGCCGGCTCTACAGATATTAATTATAGCCACCTGCTTATTCTTGCTGTGATTTATTAACCGTTTTACAGTGAAGTAGTTTTTGATCGCACGCGCTACTCAGCTGCAAGTGGCCGTAGTGAGATCTCGATGACTTATTTTTTGTTTGTTTCTTTAAAAATTTTTCTTGATAGTTTAATTTATGACGTCGTTTTATAGCCCTGGGTTTTGTGCGCGTACATGCATCGTTGGATGCAGTGGCAGTGTGACTAATCTCTACGTAGCCATTCTATTCATATTTTTAAAATTGATGTTTATTTCAAAACTGTTATCGAAAATAATTATTACAGTATGTATTTAGGTTTGAATTGTGAAATTTTTGCTTCATGACCTAACCATTAAAAAGCGGTCAGGTAAAGAAGACTGGAAGCGCTGGTGGCGCATTGACATACTTGACAGACATACGGCATGGTGTACAGCTGTATATGTACGATGTTTATTTCTAATACGGTTTATTACTCACAGGCGTACCGAAGAATATCCGGCATGTATTTTTAATGTTTTTGTGTCTGTAATGGTAATAAACGTGTATAACGTCGTGTTTCAGGATGCAAGGAAGCAGTGCAAGCACAGACGTCAACGACCATTGTCGCAAAACTTAATGGTGATGGTGTTTATTACGGTGGGGAGCCCCGGCTTATATTTGTTGAAATTATTTTCTGTTTTAATATTTTTAAAATTGTTCCAGATGGGCTGATTTGCTAAAATATGTGGCGCTTGTGTGCCATGCTATGGGACATCCGTTCGACCGGAGTACGGGTCGGCAGATATACCCGTATATGGTTTTTGCCAAGCACTGGAGCATGATCTTCACGGATTGGTAAGTTTTCAAGTGAGATTTTAAGGGCATGCAGGACCATTATCCGATTATCGTATACCTTTACAATATTTGCTCAGGCTTGTACTTTCGCGCACTTGAAAACACGTATTGTTTCCTCCCTTTCTGCAAACGAATAGTAAGTAATTTATTTAGCGTATACTTATGGTTTGAAAAGCGTTGCTGATATCCGGTTGCTTAGCCACTTTGTATAGCGAATAAAAAATGGACAAAAATTTAAAGTTACAGTATTATCGTGAATAAATTTACATATTATATAATTCCGCGTGGGCTAAGCAACTGCTATACCGGGAAGCGCTAGATTCGACTTCCGGCCATGTAGTTGTAGTTTGTACTATTCAAAACTCGTACATATGCACAAACTTGATAACTCTGCTTTACGATATAGCTACTAATGCTGAAGTGTTTAACGCAATTTTCAGTCTTATATTTTGACGATTCATCTGAGTACGGGATCACAGCTAGCTTATTTCTGCAGGGTCCTGTTTGTGTTTTCCTGGAACGCCTGCTTGCCGTACTCATGCCGTTTCGGGTGAAATGGCTGCTCCGCCCCTTGACAGCGCGCATCATCATTGTCGTGCTCTTCGTAGTCGCCGGGGTGTTTGCGGCGGAACGTTTTGCCGTGGAATATGTGCGAACCTTGAAAATTGGCTGGCCGCAATGGCTACTCCACTGGAACGAAGTGGAGAATTTTGCCGGGGTATGGTTTTTCTACTTTTTATCAACTGTGGCATTTTATCATATAGCATTTTTACAGCTGCTTGTGGCCTTTGGACTCTTCTTTTTCGGCATCCTAATCATCGACATCATCCTGGTCACGGCGATAAAACTCCAGGAACGCTCCGCCATGGGTCAAATCCGGCAAGCCCAAAAGGTGCGCTGCAACGTCCACCAAAACAGCAACATCATATTAATGGCGGATGCGGCGTTGTTCCTCTTCGCGGCATTTCCAACGATCGTCCTTAACTGCCTGATCGAGGCCAGTATCCACGGCATGTACCATCTGGATCCCCATGCGCATCTGGTCGCCGACCCCATCTGTGACGTCTTCCACCAGTGCAATTACGCACTGCCCTTCTACTTGTACCTCTTAATTTCCAAAAAGTACCGCGAAGATTTTGTCATGGTCTTCGGACCGATGCGGTGCACGGTATGGGGCAAAGGGACGGTGGAACAGCGTGAAGCGGGTCGCATCACGTTGGCACAAACGGATGGCCAAGACCAAAGTGCTGCCCAATACGATTGCGGTGATCGCTACCGAAGCAGCCAACCACAATCATCGTCGAAAATCCAGTAGATTGCATGACATCCAGTCGGCTCGCGCTAATCTGGAATTGAAGCGCGATTCTATAGGCACGGTGTCTTCCTATTCGTTGGACGAAGAGTCCAGTAGCGATGGGAATGATATTCGCATGGAAAGTGTACCGAGCGTTACAGTCCTGAAAACTGTAGCGAAACGCACGACGACGGCCGATTCGACCCAGTCAAACGGGTCGGTGGTGCTACATGCGATAGGATCGGGAAAGTCAAACGATACCCAAAACTCGGACTTGTAGATATCGAAGCTACGTATTAGAAGTAGCATAGAACGTATTTTTGTTCTAAAATCGGCAATTATGTCACTACAAATTTAAATTGTAGCGAAGTTCTTTGGCATTTATTTTTTGTTGTTGCAGTCGAGATATGCAGTGCCCCAGTCGCAGAACGCAAGACTGGATCTTTATGTATTTTAAACTTTCTGTGCATCTGACAGTATTGGGCTGGAAATACGCACTGATCCGCAGATGAAGCGGACCGCTGAAAAATTAATGGGTTCTTGCACTAATTTTAGCATTTTCTTGACGATCTGGTGGTGTATTTCCAAAAGTTGTTTATTGTTGTATGCGCCCATTTGTACAAAATAAAATATTCCTACTCGTGATTTGCTGTGATGAGAACAGATCAAGAAACTCTGCGATTTTTATCCAAGACACGTTAGGTGTAGTGTCATTAATTGGCTAAAAGATGCCACGTGATCCTGCAACACTCCATGCGACCTTGACCAGAACGTCACGGCAAAAGAAAAATATTTCATAACAGGGTGTGTTCGACAAGAGCGTGGAAAAAACGAAAGAACACTTATTACTGCAACCATTCACAAAACAGATACCTGCACGAGATGACCGGCAAGCGTCGTGTATTAACTGCAAACACATACGTACACTTCATTTTCATTCATATTTACCGACCGCGATGGAAGAACGGAAAATGCCTGACAAAGCAAAATATTTCGAGAATTCAGAGCCGGTATGTGTCACATTGTGAGCCTGAGGCTCTCTAACTTTCTCATTTGTTTATTTGGGTTTTTTTACTGACAAAACGCTGAAGAATGAAGCAGACTTACTGTATGAATGGCTGCATTACATAGTGCAGTATGCAGATGTCAGAGAGCTTCTATGTACGACTTTGCTGTAATATTAATTTATCATCAGACAAAACATTGGTATAGTTATTCATGTTTGATTCTGTTGCCAGCTTCTGTTGCAGTCATATAATTTTGACAATAATATTCTTTTGATCACAAAATTCCGGAGAGCCTGAGTGAGTACGAGGTAATGTTGGCGTGCAATATCGAGACGTTGTACATTAGCATATGCAAAATGTATAGGTGAAAAGAGTTTTGAACTTTTTAACAGTTCCTTTCTTTTTCTGAAATAATTATTGTATTAATTCTATGAATACATTTTTAGAATGAACGTTCTTGCAAACTGTGTACAGTCTGTACAGATCTATATGTCACATAGACAACATTGGTTCTTTTCCGGTTTCAGTAATCTGCCACATGGAAGTGAAGATATTGTAGGCTTCCATAAGCAGTATCATGGACGATGCTTTCGATCATGCCATTGAGGCTAACGCCACAATGGTCAACCTGACCAGCAGATTAACGGCCGTACTGGATACCACCGGCAACGAGACATCGCCCGACGTAGCCATATGGTTCGATCATGCGCCCCGAGCGTTTCCACGGGGCGCTGCGCCATGTGGTCCTGTTCTACATCATCTCCTATCCACTTCTGTTGACGATGTGCACGGTGGGCAATGGGCTCAATTTATTCCTGCTGATCCATCCGAAAACCAAGAAGAACACCACCAACTGCTACATGACCGCCATGGCCATTGCCGATATTGTTTTTTCGTAAGTACCGCACACTTGATGCCGGCAATTCGGTTACGGGAATTAACAGCGCACGTATAATTTGCTAGGATTGCTGACTGATTGAACTTCTACTGTTTCTTGGATTTTTTTACTTGCTTTATTTTGCAGATGGCAGGCAGTTCTCAAGTACAATGCACTGGCCAGCCAAGTGTTAAAGCATCCATACGACGAATCCGCCAGTAAAACCATCTATCCGTACATGGTTTTCGCGAAGCACTGGAGCATGATTTTCTGTGATTGGTAAGATCGGTTCTCGTTTAAAAAACGCTTGGGCTGTTAAGCTAAGATCAACATAATGTCAGAACGAAAAACTTTGTAAAGTAAATCGCGTGTTAAGCTGCTGATGTCGTAGGGTCCTGGTGGCCTTTTCAGTCGAGCGTTTCCTCGCCGTCATTATACCACTGCGAGTCAAATGGCTTCTGCGACCTATAACAGCGCGCATCATAATAGTCGCGCTGGCTATCATATCCGGCGCTTTCGCCGCCGAACGCTTTACCATGGAGTATCTGCGCAACTTCTCTACGGGTTTTCCCGAGTGGATAATACGCTGGAACGAAGTGGAAAACATATCTGGGGTGAGGACCGCAAAGTCACTATAATGTTTGCTCTCTGTTTTTGCGCACCTGGCGTTTTAGCGGTATCTTATATTGCAGTTGATTGTCGTCTTCGCCAATTTTTCCATTCTGCTACTATTGGATACCCTGTTGATAATAGCCATTAGGCGACAGGAACGCTCGGAAATCGGTCGTATGCGAGCCGGTTGTAACCGTTATCATAACAGTAACATGATCGTGCTGGCCGATGTTGGATTGTATCTATTCTCGTCGTTTCCAACGGTGATACTGAATTGTTTGATGGAGGCCGACTTCTACGGCGTTTACGACTTTGATCCAACATCGCGTTTGGTAGCCGATCGTATATGCAGCATCTTACACCAGTGTAACTATTCGCTGGATTTCTACCTGTACCTCATCGTGAGCAACAAGTACAGGAAAGACTTTGCGCGGGTGTTCGGTCCGATTTGTTGCACGCCATGGGCAAGAAAGCACTGGGATGACCTTAAAAAAAAGTTTACCAGGTGTCGTTTAGCCTGCTGTCATGGGCAGGAAGAACACGATGGACTCTCCGCGACCACCTCGCAGAGCAGCCGCAGCAGCAGCGAGTATGGCGAAACCTGGCACTCGCAGAAGCCGATAGCGGACAAACGAAGCATGTCCACTGTCATGACGACATTCGCTATTGATAGTCCTACACCGAGAAAAAATAAAGAAATCAGCAAGAAAATTATAGCATCAAAAGACCAGACACCGAGGTATCCATGACAGCACAGTCTGCACCGTTCCAGGATACGAAAGCTTTGAGGATTCTGGATTTGTGAATTGTGATGTCGGTGACTATACTGTGAAGTGTGAACTCGCACATTTCTAGCGAAATATGTTTTTCAAGATTATTATCGTTACTGTGCCCAGTTTTTCAATTGCTGTACGAGTACGTACCCGTGTACGATTGTAATGATGATAATAAAATTATTATAACCTTGCCGAAACTGCAACGCCTTTCTTGCAAGTATATTAGCCCGTTCATCGGCAGTGCCAAATTACTGTATAAGCCGCGCCTGTAACGCTTGACTGTAACAAATGTATTCTGCAGCTGAAAAGTAAAACTACTTCTTAATAAATACAATGGATCCACTCACCCAACAAAAAATGCAGCAAAAACTGGAAAACGCAAACTAGGTAGCACATAATACGTAGAAACAGTCAAGTAAATACTGTTTAAGTAGTGCACAATTGTAAAGAAAGCTAAAACATTTTCAGCTAGTAGCAATAGAATCGATGAAATGAAGGAACGCCAAGCTTAAAGGCCTGTCTTTAGGCACGCAAAAAAGGCAACACTTATTATGTAAGAATAAAGTTTTTTATGCTGGTGGTATGGTCATTGATCCTTCTCATAGCCTTTTTCTTATAAAACAACATGTTCAAATGCTTACATTTCTTTACCTCGCTGTAGCTAAAAGCTCATACATCGGGCGAAAAGTATTTGGCCACCTTCATCAACGACAGCAAGGCAATGCGAGACAACTTGTCCAACCGCAGACCAGCCAGACCGTCAACGCACCATTTCTTCTCACACCAATGTGATCGCGGACGCGAATCCACGGACTGCGTTCCACACAAAACCTGCAGCGATAAGAGCTGTTGTTAATCAGAATTTAAATTACTGAGAAAAGATGTCTCACCGTGCAACAGGGCTCAATATGGTGCTCGGCTACCTGTCCGGCAAACACAGCTGCCAACCATCGCGACAAATGCTGTTGTTCCTTGTCACTGGCTACCGGCAAACCACTCTCCAGCGCATCCCACATGGCGCAGCCCAGATCGTAGTCGCTGCTCCGCTGCAATCGTTCCCTGGAGATCGTGATTTTAAGATGCGGTAGAGAGCCGCCGCGGGCTAGAGCAAGCCGCGTTGACAGATAGACAGCGGTCAGTTTCAGGTTGAATTTACAACCGATGAGTTGGAGAGAGTGACACGGGAGCTCCCGGCATGTCGCCGTGAAATCACGGAGGCTGACATGTCCAGCTTCCCGTGCCCCTTTTTTCCACGCTTTATAAGCCGGATGCTGTTCACCGGTGTACTGGTTACCGCAGTCGGTTCTGACGCCCAGGAGGGACCCTTTAAGACCCAATAGAAAGATGGTGCTCAAGTGTATCTTTTCCCGCTGTTGCGCAATATAGTGGATCATCTGGAACACCTTCAAGAAATCATCTCCCTCCAGCAGCAACTCGCGACAGTCGACGACGATATATCTTGTCGACACGCGCAGACACTTGAAGACTGGTGCCGTCAAAATGTAGTCGCTATACAGTTCATCCGTATCATCATCTTGCCCTCCTATGATAATGCAAGTGGTCAGCTCCGTAATAATATAGTTCCATGCTGCGCAGACTTTGCGTAGTAAAATCTGCGTCACTGTACTCAGATGCGAGAAGATCTCCAGCAACACGTTTGTTGTCAAAGCGCTAATGTCACCGTCATCCATTGTTTTATTGCCGGTTTCATCCGTAACGCTCTCCTTCATATCATGGTCTTCTGCGCTGAATGTGTAATCAGTTCCTTCATAATCTGTCTGGAAAGCAAAACCGGCAACATATTAGGGCACAACTGACGGTATAAAGTGTCCTGCAGTCCCAGACACTTACCCAGCATTCGTCAAAACATGGCGCATCCGCATCTAGCTCATATTCGGAAGACCGCTTCTCTAAATAGAACAGTTGCCCATCTTTCGCTTCGATGACTAGGATGGGCCGGGAATCGTTATCCCAAAGGTATCTGAGTTCATTTAGTTTCCGCACTAGTTTTTGGGCGGCTGCTGGCGAAATAGAAGCCAAACGCGTGCAACGGCGCGCTGCCCTTTACAAAAGTCCATTTGCTCACGGGAACCCTGTTCTTCGCTCCAGCAGCTCCAACCTGCGACAAATCCGAGGACCAGACGCTCCGGCGAATTCGCTCAACAGGAACAATATCCGTGCAAGCTTCTTTATTGCACCAGCGAACCACGGCGACATCGTACGCCACGTGCTGCACACCGTGTGCCAGGTTAAACACTTCAGCCGGATACCAAATCCAGGGATCGGCGGGACTGTGGCGCATGCGAACATCCACCCGGGTCGTTATCTCCGCTGCTGCAAAAATCTGCGCCAGATCTTTTCCCGTCAAAGGCGGAGAAGCGGACCGGAACACGCTATCGAAAGGGACAAGTTCGCGGCGACGGCCTTCGCAGTACAAGTCGATAAAAGTCCATTGTCAGCCACATCGACCACGCTTCCGTAGCGGTACAAACCGTCGACGCCCAAAACATCAACACTGTTCATTGGCATTTCTGAAACGGAGAGGTACCGCTCCATGGTGACACAATTGTCAGACTGTTGTAGGTATGACAACTAACAAGGGAACAAAAGGTTGTGAAAATTTTGCAACTCCACATTCAGTTCTTAATTTCGCAACGATTTGTCGGTAGCTAAATACGGTAATTTACAGAGCAAAATTAACAACCGAACCGCTTCACACTCCATAGCCAAAATCAGAAAATCTGATCATCACTCAGCAGCACCAAAAACTGAGAATCAGCGTGCATCCAGACTGTACATGCGGAAAAGCAAGCGAGCACGCAAAAACGATCCATCATCCATTCTCAGCTGTTTTGAATTTCGAACTCCAGCTCGGTAGCCATGGCGATAAGTATTCCATAGTTGCAGTAAGTAAGTAATACCGGTAAAGACTCCAGTTATTACGGAAACGCATGCCGTGCCCAAAATTCAAATTACCGGTATTACTTGCCTTACTGGCGTACCGTCATTTCGGCATATGAACATTTCGACATACGGTCATTTCGGGCCGGCAGCAACCCTCTTAATCGCGAAATAAGTCGTAAATGTAAAAAGATTTGGCAAAGAACCGGCGAGGCACGAGCAGAGAAATATTCACACTCGTAAACGTCCTCGCCATATACAGATAGGTGATACAATGTTATTCCTGTAAAATGTATGAAATGGATACCTACGAATTTCATATAACAAAGTAGTCGCTGCTACATGAGCAAAGGTCAAGAGGTTTATACGTATGTAAAGGTAAACAATGGCCTGTACCAACGTGATAGAGTTGCGTCTTAGGGCGTTATCGAGAATTTTGGCTCCAGGTGTAATTCGATGTCAACCTTGGAAGAATCTCGGTTTGTACTTTTACAGTTTAAGAGCATTGCGGTTTTGCAGTCACAACGCAATTCATCTGTCGAAGTCTCGATAAAAGAAGTTTAACCGGCTGGTTTATTTACGTAATTATATTGCTTATGCGTAACTGAATTTTTCCTAGTTTTTATTGCAAAACCTGCTTCGAGAACACCGACCGACAACCAGGAATCGTTCGTACTGCTTTTAACCCAAGAGCGCGGAGATATGACACGAAAATACATAACATATGTTTAACAAATGCAAAAAAAATATAACTAAGCTAACCGACGCAAAATTGCCTAGGAAACGACCGAGCAATATAACAGAAAAACGATCCAGCATACAGCATACAACAAATCCATCTTTACAAACATACATAATTATGTACAAAGCAAACGATGAACGCTATTCGTACAATACCAACGTAGTTTACAGCAGCGATCATGCCCCGTCTGAATTGAGTGCAACTTCAAGTCAAACATCAAGCAACGATTCGGTGGATTTTTACCTGTACTTAACTTCTAGCAAAACGAGCAGCACAGAGAAACGTTGTCGCAGAACAGTGAACTGCTTCTGATAACGCTCGAGAAAATTATAACTTCCGTTAATTCAGTACGGTTAAATGTATCTTTCTGCATTTCGCTTAAACGCTGCTAATTCACACTCTTGGCGAGTAGAACTGCACCATCTTAATTAAAGAAATCAGTGCAATGCGAGACAACTTTTCCCACCGCAAAACAGCCAGGCCGTCAGCGCACCACTTCTTCCCCCACCAGTGTGATCGCGGACGCGAATCCATTGACTGCGTTCCGCACAGAACCTGAAGCAATAAAAACTGTTCAAAAACCTTCGAAATAGTGATGAAAATTGACAAAAACTCACCGAGCAGCAGTATCTGATGTAGGCCTTGTCGATCTGACCGGCATGGACGGCTGCCAACCACCGCGACAGATGCTGCAACTCTTTGTCCCGGGCCGCCGGCAAACCACCGTCCAACGCATCCCACACCGCGCAACCCAAATCGTAGTCGCTGCTCCGCTGAAAGCGGGCCCTGGAGATTTTAATGTTAAGATACGGCAGAGTAGGGCCACGGCCGGTAGCAAGCCCCGTCGGCACAATGACGTCGGCTAACAGTTCCAGGCGGAATTTACAGGTACGGAACAGGAGAGCGTTGCATGGAAGATCTCGACACGCCCCCATGAAATCACGGAGACTGACCAGTCCGGCTACACGACACCCTGCTTTCCATAGTCTAAAAGCCGGGTGCTGTTTACCGGAGTACTTCTTGCTGCAGTCAGTACTGGCGCCAAGGAGGGTCCCGCGAAGCCCCAGTAGAAAGACTGCGTTCAGGTGAATTTTGTCCCGGTGTTTCGCAACGTGGTTTATCATTTCGAACACTTTCAGAAAGTCATCTCCTTCCAGCCGCCATCGGCGACAATCCACCATGATGTACTTCGTCGATGCGCGCAGACACTTGAAGATTGGTGTCAGCAAGAGATGGTCGCTTCGCTCATCATTCCACTGTAACCACAGTTTATCATCTTCATGTAGTCGCACGACAACGCAAGTGGTAAGGTCCAGAATATAGTTCCACGCGCTGCAGACTTTACGTAGCGAAGTTTGTATCATTGTACTGCGATGGGAGAAGATCTCCAGCAACACGTTTGTCGTCAAGATAGTGATATCACTCTCATCCGTTGTTCCCGGCCCATCCATAGCGCTCCACTCCATACGTCCGTGCTGCGGTAATTTTGGACGCCAACCCATGTCCATTCGGTTGAAACTTGCCTGGAAAGAAAAATGAGACACATATTGAAGCATAACCGGCAAACGGAAGAACCCGTGCCTCATTCCAGTAATATACCCAGCATTCGTCAAAACAGACATCCACGTCCACCGTGTGTTCCGATGGGCGTTGCTCCAGGTAGACCAGGTGTCCGTCTTGCACATCGACGACAAGCTGTGGTTGGTAATCTTTGTTCCAAAAATATTTGCGAGACCGACAATTGAGTTCCTTCACCAGTTGTTCGGCAGCGGCGGGTGTTAACGAGGCAAACCGCTGCGGTAGCTGCACGCGGCCCTTTTTAAACGTCCACTTGTTCACGGGAACCCTAATGCCCGTCATAGTCACGTCGTCCTGGGATGAATCGGAAGACGGTACGCGCCGTCGAAGCCACTGCACAGGAACAACATCCGTGCATTCTACGGTGTTCCACCAACGCACCACTGCCACATCGTACGTCACGTGTTGCACACCGCGTGTTAGATTGACCAGTTCAGCCGGAAACCAAACCCATGGATCGGCGGGACTCTGGCGCCAGCGGACATCCATCCGCGGGCCCGGCGGTGCAGCTGCATAGATTTTGGCCAGGTCTTTTCCGGACAGAGGGCGAGAGGTAGCAAGAAAAACGTTGTTAAAATGAACAAGTTCACGGCGACGATCTGCACAGTGGAAGTCAATTACAAGCCCATTGTCAGCCACATCCACCACGTGCCCATAGCGCAACACACCGTCTTCTCCCAAAACATCAACGCTGTTTATTGGCAGCTCTGGAACGGATTGTTTGGGCCACATGTCGATGTAGATTAAAGGCACCTGAAATAAGTGACCTGAAATACCTAAGTGAACATTGTGAACATCATTAGTGCGTGTACCTTTATACGGTTAAAAATACTGTGTACTGCATCATGGCACAAACACAGAACTGCTTTGTTCTGATGATGACAAATCGAATTATTAACTGGATTAATTTTTTTTATTCAAAAGCATCATTCCAGGAAACCTCAACGCTGCAAACAACAATGCTGTCTAAATTTGATCTTAATTACAATTTACAACAACGATCGGTAGCGGTTAGCGGGTTCATTCTCTTTATTTCCATAACGCGATTAGCGGGTTAGGGTTCATAAAGCAACAGTGAACAGCAATTAAGATTGTTGATTCAGATTTCATCGTTTTTATCATCAAAGTTTGGCAGCACGGACACTTACTCGGCCTAGAAATGTGGTTTGAGCTCCAGAATTATAGGAATCGGGATACTCCGACTCGTATGATCGAGTTATGCAGCTACTGTATCAGCAGTCCTCAGCGTACCAAACGAATTCAAAAGCCATGGCCATGGTGTGCAAGAAATGTGAACAGCGTCGCCCAGCGTGTATGCAATGTCATGTACAGTATGTAGGTTTACGTTACGGCAACACGCTGTTTGCAAAAACGTTTTTAAATGAAACAAGCAAAAAATGACGCGAAATCAGTACACGCTGTACCGTAATCTGTGTTTGCCGAAGATTCCATTCATGGGAATGCAGAGATACACCGTGATCAGGCGTGATGCTGCCATTTCGAATTTTGCCACCCGGTAACAAAGGCGAGTATTCCATAGTTACCGGTTCGAACTTTGAATACTACGACGCCGGATGTGACCGCGCTAATTATTATTAACTTGATTTAACCGCCGAACCGAAACTGCTCGGCGCTACCTCGCACGAATATGTCATCACCTAGCCACAATTACGATGGAAGAACCCCGATGTAGCGCAACTAGCTGACAATATGTACCGTAAAGTTACACCAGTGTTATACCACCGACCAACAGCGTAATCTGGCAGGGAGTAAAAGGTGGCAGTGGCACCTGCCACTGGCAGTTGCCACCGGCAGTGGCATGTGGCATTTCGCGACTGGCAAGCGTAAAACATGGCAATGTTTCAAAGTGCAGAAATAACTAAAAATTTGCCTGCCACCAAGAAAAGTGAAAGATAAAACGGAATCGATGCGTTGTTTTTTATTTTCTATGCGTTGTTTTTTATTTCATGAAACGCCATTACACCAAAGATATATGTATGTGAAAGAAACAGTTTATCACATTTCTGTTAAATCATCTTTTTCTACTTTGCGGCCAGCCAATGCTCTATACCCGCCTACCAAAGCAATAAGCGCTAAATATTTATGTAGCAAAAGTTTCTTAAAATTTTAAAATTTCTTAGGTTTCTTGCGTTATTCTTAGGTCTTTCAGTTTTCTTAGGTTATTCTTAAGTACGATCACCTAAGAAAAACCTAAGAATCCTTAGGATTCCTAGGTTTTTTAGGTTATTCTTAAGTTTCTTAAGCTATTCTTAGGTTTCTTTGGGATTTCAGGTTTCTTAGGTTACTTACGTTATTGTTGGGTAATTTTTCTGATTGTCAGGATATTTTTTGAAATCCTGAGAAAACTTAAATAACGTAAGTGACCTTAGTCACGTTGTTATAACCAAAGAATTACAATACAACCGAAGAACCTAAGAAATTTGTTGTAAACCTTAGAAACCTAAGACTGACCTAACAACTTAAGGTTAACCTAACAACCTAAGAAATTTAAGAACATACGAAACACAGTGTAAACCTAAGAAAGTTTTTAGTGGTTTGAGTGTTGCGGTCAGAGCCAAACTTTGAAGGCCAGAGGTTGAGTTGTCAGAATCATGCCTTGTGCATGACGTAGCTTTGTGCCCGTATTAGCCTACAGCAGTTCTGTGACGTGTTGCTTCTCTAGCGTGCGTATTACTGGTGTTTAACGAGTTGTGGTGACTTGACTAGCCTTAGCATATTTGATGTTCTCAACGGATAAGGATATGTGAGAGTGCCCGTTTACGGGCTTGGCTACTCGAAATTAAATCAATCAATCAATCAGACTTTGGACAGTCAGAGTCAGAGTTTGAGCGGTCAGAGTCAGAGCTTCAGCGCGGGCCGTTTGTTTCTGTTTCGCCTCCCGACTTTTAGTACAACGACATATCAATGAATAACCCAACCCACAGACCGACAGAATACTGATCGTCAATTCGCGTTTCCACAATTTTGTTGCCCGATGTGTTCGAAAAACTGTTTTGTCGAACTACAGTTTGCTTTTCCGTCTGAGAAAACCAAATAAAAATTAAGAAACCAAGAAGCAGACCGTTTGAAGTTAAAAAGTACAGAAGACCGACCGACCGTGTTACAGAGAAGGGAAAATCAAAAATAAGAAAACATAAAACCTAATAAAACATAAAAAAAAACAAAAACACCTCACAAAACATAAGAAAACATAAAAAATTTAAGAACAAAAATTTTAAGACATGTGTGTGCTACCCGCAAATTTATTTTGCGGCATTGTAGCGCTCATTGCGTTGGTAGGCGCGATACAGATAGTAAGCTGGCCGCTGAGTATAGAAAGATCAATTATATAGAAATTAATATTGTTTTATAAATTTTTTTTTATAACAGGCAAATTTTTAGTTATTTCTGCACTTTGAAAAATTGCCAGGTTTTACCGCTTGCCAGTCGCAAAATGGCACATGCCATTGCCGGTGGCAACTGCCAGTGGCAGGTGCCACTGCCACCTTTTACACCCTGCCGCGTAATCTCCAAGATTCTTCCAGCAGCGCAGTTGGATAGTAGTATGTAGCCGTGTATATTATATATGTTGTACTAAATGATATAAGTATTGGTTCATCTTCTGTGTACAGCGGAAGCCGCAGCATCGGCTGACGAGTTTACAATGTTACTTCTGCTTAAACTTCTAACTGAAAATCAAACCTCGACGAAGAATGCTCGAAGAAACCCACAAATAAATCCAGTGTTACAAAAAAAATTAACAGGATGCAGACAGAAAGCGTACCGCATAAATTTAACAGTAAGACATTATTAGAGCGAAGCTATTCGGATTTGCAACTCTTTGTACTTGGTGATTTAGTCGGGGTTGCATTTGTGACGATTGCAGGTATCTCCAGTCCAAATACATCATTTTCCGTTCGATGAAATTGAATATTTCACTCATACCACGGGCGAGAAACAGCCCGCCAGCTTCACCAAGGAAAGCAACGCAATGCGCGATAAGTTTCCCAACCGTAGATCAGCCAGACCGTCAGCGCACCACTTCTTCTCATACCAGCGTGATCCTGGTCGTGGGTCACCTGATTGCGTTGCACACAGAACCTGCAACGACAAATAAAGATACAGTAACGTTTTGCGCTAATGAATGAAAAAGCGCTCACCGAGTAGAACCATTGGATATAATGTTCGGGTACCTGCCCGGCGTGGATCGCTGCACATCGCTGAGACAGACGCTGCAATTGATCCTCAGTGGCCACTGGCAAACCAGCCTCCAGCGCATCCCAAATGCAGCATCCCAAATCGTAGTCTCTTCGCCGCTGCATTCGCGCCCTGGAGATTTTACTTTCGATAGACGGCACAGAGAAACTGCGGTCTATGGAAAACCACATCGCCGTATAGACCCTTGATAATTGCAGACGGAATTCACAATCGAGGAAGAGGAGGGCGTTGCATGGAAGATCCCGACAGGCCACCGTGAAATCATGGAGACAGACATGGCCAGCTGCCTGTGCATTTTCCTTCCCCGCATGGAACGATGATGGCTCAACCTCCTGCCGTTGACCAGTGTGATGGGTGTCGCAGGCCGTACTGACGCCAAGCATGCTGCCTTTGAGACCCACCAGAACGATTGTATTCAGAAAAATGCTTCCATGGTGCTGCGCAACGTAGTGTATCATCTCGAACACCTTGAGGAAAACGTCTCCGCCCATCTCCCATTTGCGGCAGTCCACGACGATGAACTTGGTTGACGCGCGCAGACACTTAAAGATTGGCGCCGTCAGAAAGTAGTCGTGGTGAACAGAGCTGTGCGCTTGGTCAAATTTGTGTGGTCGCATAGAAATGCAAGTGATCAAATCCATGATATAGTCCCATGCTGTACAGACCCTGCGTAGTGAATTTTGTACTATAGCAGTCAGATGTGAGAAGATCTCCAGCAACACGTTTGTCGTCAAAGCACCAATATCCCCCTCATCCGTTGTCCAAGTGCCCGGTCCATCCGTCACGCTTTCCTCCATATCTTTGTCGTCCGCATCGAAGGTGCAATCCGTTCCAAAATGTGTCTACAAAGCAAAACCGACAACATATTAGGCAACAATTACCTGCTACAAGTGACAGTCCTAGGCATATACCCAACAATCGTCAAAACACGGTCCCTCCGCAGCCCGCTCCTTTTCGGAAGACCGCTGCTCTAAATAGAACAGCTGTCCATCTTTCACTTCGACGACAAGCACGGACCGGAATTGGTCGGCCCAAAGATGTTTCAGACAATTCAGTTCTTTGACCAGGTTTTCGGCCGCTGCTGGCGCAAGAGAGATATAACGCGGCGGTAATGGCGCGCTGCCCTTGACAAAGGTCCGTGGGCTCACGGGAACTCGTTTCGTTGCATTCGAAAATCCACCCGTCGACGAATCAGAAGATATGACGCTCCGGCGAATTCGCTCAACCGGGACAATATCCGTGCATGCGACGGTGTTCCACCAACGAACCACTGCAGCATCGTACGTCACGTGCTGCACACCGCGTGTAAGATTGACCAATTCAGCCGGAAACCAAATCCAGGGATCGGCGAGGCTGTGGCGCCAGCGGACATCTACAGAGAGGACTGTCTCTGGCGCTGCATATATTTTGGCCAGTTCGTTGCCATTTAAAGGGCGATAAGTGGTCAGGAAAACCTTGTCAAAAGGGACAAGCTCACGGCGACGACCTGCACAACAGAAATCGACGAACAGTCCATTGTCAGCCACATCCACCACGCGTCCATAGCGGAACAGACCGTCTTCGCCCAGAACATCGACACTGTGCACTGGCATTTTCGGAGCGGGTTTGAATCGCCTTGGCAGGTTGGTTACCGGCATTGTGGTACTTAACTTGTTTATGATTATGTCGTGAATTTGACCATCATAAATGCACGCAAACGGTAAATATTTACCAACTACTCAGTTACTACTGCATGGTAGTTGTTTAGCGAAGACACCAAATAATGCTTAATCCAACTTCGAATTTTTCAATTCAATTAGTTAAAATAAAAAGCACAAAAAATGCAACATCGACGGAAAACTACAAGTTGCGACCAACGTAAACTATAATATACTCGTACGCTGGCGCTTTTATACTCAAATTTTTTACAGTAAAAAAACTTACTTTACCGTGTAATGTGGTTCTGACTTTTGAGTGATAGAAATCGCAAATTTGAAGGAATTGTAGGATCGAGTAATGTAGCTTCCGCAAAATAGCAAATGAATCAAATATCCCAGGTTCGTGCCTAGCTACAACGTGCGCATAATTTACACGGTGCGTTATTTAGCACGGCGTTCTTGACCTCGTCAATGCAGATTTCTCTGAGTGCAGCAATTCGCCGAACTGGGTAACTATGGCAGCATAGCATATAGTGCTCCTTAGTTACCGATTTACTTTTTTAGTATCACGATGCCGCAGCTGGCGGCTCGAATCATAGAATCATAGTGCTCGTGTTAACATCGTTCAATCAATCCAGTCGTAACACACTGCAATGCAAGCCTGCCCAAAATATTACCGCTGCTTTACCCGGGCCACTGGGTATAACCTTCACAAATTCTGCAAGCAGTGCAGCTGGGTTGGTTGACCCGGAAAAAGCAAGGGAGAGCACATGGTGCACAACGAAAAGACAAACGAATAGCTTCTAGGTATAAAGGTTGGCGGTGAAATTACCTGTAGCGCAAAGCTGTCACAACGTGAGACATAAGCAGGATCGTTAGATAAAAGAGCTTTTATCGTTAGATAAAAGAGCTCATTGAGCTTTTACTACATGCAGGGATATTCAGTATTCTTCCGTGAACATATGGTCACAGCTCGGATCATACAGAAAGTGGCGCGATTAAGTACCTTCGCTTTTGCTCTTCGTCTGCATCCACAATTATGTAAAACAGTTTCCTTACATAGGAAAGCCTTAAAGTAAAGTGCGCAATCACAAATATAACTCCTCCTTCGTGTACCGTACTGTAGGTGAAGGTAGTCGGTATTCGCGTTAGCATTTTTGCGAAACTTGTTTTACGAGCAAAGCGAGAGCGGCCAGCTGCCGATTTTCGTTCTGCCGTTGTTTTTACTCGTATACGTACAACGTGAAGGGGATACAAACAACGAAAACCAAAACAAAGTACAACAGGTCGAAACAAACTGAAGCAGCATTCTCCACGCGAAACCGAGCTTCGTAAACCATATATTCCCCGTAAAAGCAATTGCTTTATAAGCGGAACAACAACGACTTTGCACAAATTATGACAACGCTCATGCAACGCAAGACCACAAAAGTGCAACATAAAGTAATCTCAAATGGGTTTATTCTTCTGCTTAATGCTAGCGTGTTTCAGTTCCCCTCATACAGGGCGCAAGGCCATGGCAAGTTCCACAACCTTGATCAAGGAGAGCAGTGCCATTCGGGACAAGTTCTCCCACCGCAGTTCAGCCAAACCGTCGCGGCACCATCTTTTTCCACGCCAGTGTGCTCCCGCTCGCGGATCGACGGTCTGCGTCGAGCATAAAACCTGTAACGATACACAATGAGTAAACAGCTGTTCCATTGAGTACTTACTTACGGTTACCACGTATACAGAACTGAGACAACAACGTTGTAGTCTTACCGAGCAGCAGGGCGTTAGAAGGTACCGGTCGATTTGGCCCGCAGCAGCGGATGTCAGCCACTGGGATAATCCCTGCAACTGGTCGTTACTGGGTGCCGGCAAAACCGCCTCCAACGCACCCCACAGCGCACAGTCCAAATCGAAATCCCCTCGTCGCTGCAGCCGCGCCCTGTGGACATCCATAAACAAAGGATGACCATTACGATATGAGACGGAAAAGCCCAGATGGAAGCTACAGCCGATCAACTGGACGGCATCGCACGGAAGATCACGACACGCCACGGTGAAATCACGCAGGCTGACGTGTGCCGCTTGCAGTGACCTTTCTCGCGGTGCCAGGAACTGTTTCGTGTTGTGAACATTACAGTAAAAACTGCTGCCTACAAGCCGTCCTTGAATACCGATCAGAAAAATGGTGTCCAGCCGAATCCGTTCATGTTGTGCGGCGCAGAGTATCATGTCCAACACTTTCAGGAATTCGCCTCCCTGTTGCATTGGTCGCCGACAGTCCGCGACAAGACGCTTTGTGGTCGCGCGCAGGCATTTGAAGATTGGCGCCGTCAGCAAGTAGTCGCTGCGGTCAGATTCGTATAGCTTATCGTATCCATGAATTTTTACGATAACATTGGCGTATATTCCTGGCAAATCCATGATGTAGTTCCACGATGCACACACATTACGTAAAGAAGTCTGCTTCAAAGTGCTCAGGCAGGAAAAGATCTCCATTAGTACGTTTTCCGACAACGCACTAATACCACTGTTATCAGTTGTGTCGGGATCAGCAAGGATCCGCACCAGACGGGGAGGTCCCTTAGATTCGTGGACAACATGATCCAGAGTTGTCTGGAAAACAGTCCGACAACGTCAGAACATTCATTTTATCGAAATCAAAAAAGTAGTCAATCGAGTAAACAAAATTCCGCAGTACGGCACTACTTAATAGTCAACAAATTAAAGCGCTGAAAAAACACGCAAAATCTCAGTCTTCGCGCGAATGAAGAAACGGTAAGGTGAATTTGTACTCAACACCGGCAGACTGGCGGCAGTAGTGGTGTAATCTTTTATAACCGCCAAATTAAAATGCTGAACGAGAAAAGCAGACAAACGTGTCAGCTAGTTTCCTAACTTTTTGGACCAGTTAGACTGCAGATTCCCTAAATATCTGTAATGGTGTGCTGCAAATTAATTTTACCCAAAATTTGTCAAAACATGTTGTCTGTACATCCGGTTGATACTTCGAGAACCGCTGCTCGATGTAAAACAGCTGTTCCTTTTCCCCGTGAACGATCATCACTGGTCGCTGACTGTAGCTGTCAAACAGAGATTTACGACTGTTCAGCTCGTTCACCAGTTGCTCGAGAGCCGGCATCGTTAACGAGGCATAACGCAGCGGTAACTGCACACTGCCCTTCGCAAAGGTCCATTTGCCCACGGGGACCACATTCCGCAACACAGCCGCTTCAGCATTCGACGCATCAGAAGTCAACGCGCTCCGACGAATTCGCTGCGCTGGAACAACATCCGTGCAAGCTACGGTGTTCCACCAGTGAACTATTGCCACATCGTATGACCCGTGCTGCACGCCGCGCCCCAGATTGGCTAATTCAGCGGGGAACCATGTCAGTGGTCCGGTGGGACTCTCGCGCATAAGGACGTCCACATGGCTGGTTAACTGCGGGGCGGGGTAGATTTGGGCCAGCTCTTTTCCATTCAGAGTAAAGGAGGAGATCGGGAAAACATTGTCAAAAGGGACGAGTTCGCGTTGACGACTGGCACAGTGGAAGTCGACGAATAATCCAGTGTCGTCCACATCCACCACGCTCCCACAGCGAAACAGTCCGTTTTCACCCAAAACCTCCACGCTGTTCGTGGGGGTATCCCCGATGGAAATGGTCATGGTGCTTGTTTAGAGCTATAAATCAGACAACTACTAAGACTATCTACTCGAGTAGGAGTTGAGAATAAATCAAACGACTGAAAACATTTAAAACAGGTAAGGTGAGGTTCAACATAAAGAAAGACGGGGCAAGTTGATTGTGACAAGTTGACAACGTCAACAGTCACTGACAGTTCTCAGGGGGACATCAAGGCGCATGAACTGCAACTTGGGCGGTACTTCTTGGAGACGCTCTAAACTTGGGGCGTGCACCCCTTGGTTATGAGCTCCACGCGCTACGTAATCACGCACACTGCAGGCACACATGACAGTGAACGCGCTTGTATTGGCTGTAGGTAGTTGACAGTTCGAACTAGGAAGTGTAGACTGAGGCCTCGTCCCGAATTCGAAGCGAACCTTGTTGCGATACAGCAACTCCACCTCGCGAGGTGGCTTCGCGTACCGTATCTGTAGGCGTGGCCACTGCATACAGCCACCTCGTGCGGTTGAGCAACGGTACCAAAGCTAGATTCGCTTCGAATTGGAGACGCACCCTGAGTTTGCTGTCTTCTCTTCTGTAACTCTGTTAGACGTTACAGCGTTTGGCATTTCAGCTTTCTGTTTTACTTTGGAATGCTCATAATCTTGTGAGAGCCTGCTGGTTTTTCCTGCCTTGAGTGTTATTTTAACTAGCGTTGCTTTACACACTTCCATAAAGTCCACAAAACGTTGTAAAATGGTATCGAATAAGCGTAGCAAGAACAAGCGTCGAAGGACCAAGAATGGCATGGCTAACAACGCCAGCAACCCACAGAAAGAAGCCAAAATGCCTGATTCTCCACCAGCAGACAAACCCAGCAACGCCTCATCACTATCAAACGGCCTCGACACAATCCATGAGAAATGTGAACCCACCTTCACGGTTTCCACAGAACCATCGGAGACGACGAGCGAATCAGGCTCTACACCGTCACCGTCTCCTCCCGTCAATCCATTCGCTCCCGCATTCCAGGCCACTAATCCTTTCGCTCCTAAATTCCTGGCCGCCAATCCATTCGCTCCCAAATCATTCGTCCCGGAACGCGAAGTTGCGCAAGTGCAGCCAGCACCAGTCAGGAGTGAACAATCTCAGCCTACGAAGTTGCAGGACAATCAGGCACAACCACAGAACGGTCCCGCAGAGCAGCTGGTGAATGGGAACACGTCGCCAACCGCTGGCATGGAGTGGCATGGACTGGAGAATGCTTGGAAGTTTTACCAAATGAACTCGACAACCAAGGGGCTGAGCTATAGTGAAAGGATCCGCGAAGTCGGCGTCGTCGACACTGTGGAGGCTTTCTTCTACGCGTTGAAGCGCATTCCACAACCCAGTGAGACCGCGCACTGGCAGGATTATATGTTCTTCCGTGGAGGCAAAGGACCACATCTGCAGACGCCAGTGATTAAGCCGGAATGGGAGGATGTCAGGAATGCACGCGGTAAGGACAACGTGGCATCCCTGTCACGGTTTTCAACGCTCTTGTGGTGTCAGCATTTATATTTATCGACTGTACCTTCTTGAGAGCAGTAGTTCAGTCGTACGCGTTGTTTGTTTTAAATTTTAATTCAGTCTGGATAATTTAATCACATCCGTGCATGCTGCGGAAGGAAAGTTTCCGAGATTGTGTGTATTTGGCTGATTAAGGCAGTTCCTGTTACGGTACTTTCTTAGGTGGGATGTGGAATTTTGTTTTTCCCCAGTCAGCCCAGTGTTTCATGAAAGCCCGTGATGTGGATGAGAAATGGAAGGAGCTTCTGATGGCCATGATCGGGGAGCAGTTTGGTCCGTACAACGACAACGTAAACGGCGCCTACTGCTGCAATCGCAACGGGAACGGCAACGGCGAATACCGCTTGCAAGTGTGGTTGGGCGTCAACGATGCGGAGACCGTGAAGGGTGTAGGCGCGAAGCTCGTGGAAATTATGGGCTTGACGGAGTCGGATGGCATCTGTTTCCAGTACTGTTCGAACACGGCCGGCAAGAACAAACCGCTCTTTGATCGTCGGGATATTTATCGTGGACTGCCGCCCAAGAAGATCGTGGCGGCTTGAAGAATGCCTGGACTCTCCGTTGCAGTGGGTTATTTCGTGATAGGTGAGTGTTGTCTTGTTTTTGAAACGGCTTGCGAGTCGGTAATATTTGCGGATTTCGTAGGGAAACACTTTGGTTGACTCATTTCCGCGGAAGATGCTCAGTGCCAGGATGAATAAAGCCCGAATGGAATGACGCCCTGTGCTATGATGGAAGTTCTTTCTTTATACGCAGCTAAGTTCCGTTCCTTTGGTTTGTTTTCTCAGTTACGATTGAACCGGGCTTGAGTTTTTGCATTTATTGCATTATTACCGTCTCAATCTTACGTTTGACATTTTGTACTGCTTTTTGTTGCTTCAGTTTCTTGGTCGGCACCTTGGTCGGATTGTTTTACTCTTTAGTTGTGTTGTTGAATTGAATAAACTTTTGCATTGCGTTGGTCTGGGAGCGAGAGTGACTTCTACGGAGTATTTGTACTGGTAGCTACATAAAGTGTCTTCTAAACTGTCATCGATGCAAGTGCAATAAGCGTATAAGATGCTATCTAAAACCACGGAAGTCTCTTTAATCTAGAAGTACCTGCCCGTACAACGATATCCGAACCTTAAAGGTGCTCAGTGCGTTTTATTTTGGCAGTACGCTCAACGCGACCACCAGCCGGCGACGAATGCAGGTTTTGTACACAGCGTCAACGCGTATTGTTGTGGCAGCTGTTTACTCGTTATTCCTGAGTTTTTATAGGATGCAGCCGCTGGATGAAGGGTTGGAAGTTAAGCCCAAAAAATCGGAAAATTTTAAGCGGATACGACGCGGCAGGGATTTAGGAGCACACGGCCTCCTGTGCAGTTCTGGCATAACGGATATCGAGATAGGATTAGGGGTGGTTTTTCGCATCGTTATACGGAAGGAAACGATGTGTGCAGCAGCAGTGCTAGGGGACCCTTCATTTTGTTAGCGTCATCTGGTAGCACTCTTTGCTGGCTCTTATTAAAAGTGGTACTTCTTCCTGTTTTTTTAGGTCATCCAGTCGGACGCGCTCCTTATGTGGATGATGGAGAACGGCGATTCTGCGCAGCGTATCCTGTTGTACGCAGAAAGCAGAACCGACATTCATCCTTCTGTAGCTGACACAAACAGGTAAGCATCCTCGTACATCTGCTAGTGCCATTAATTTTGTTGGTCTTACAAAGCAGTTAAAAATTTCTTTGAATCTGTAGTCTGTTTTGCATCAGGAATGTGAGTGGCGCTAGCGTTTGACAAAATTGCCGTTTAATCGTCAGATAGCGTGTACATATCGTAACAGTCGCAGTACAATCAGTTTATCAGTAAACACATTTTTAATAGTTCGTGGGCGGATACCGATAGCGTCCGCGCGCATATAACAAAGAATCAGAAACCGAGTTATACGGTGCTGACGCTACCAGCGATACGTCGCTGTACCAGTGGCCGAAATGCACCTGTACGGTGTACAGTCAGTAGTGGCTTAATTGGAAGCCGGTTTGGAAATAAATGTCGCCTTATCTCAAGGTCGTAGTCTGATTCGGTGCGCGCTGCGTTTGCTCAGGTAAAATAGAGCTCGGTTAACTGCAGCGCGGATAGAGAGAAAAGAGAGCGGTTTGTCAATAAACTACCATACCTTGGCTACCGGTGCGTGTGTATGCGCAGTGTATTGTTAGTCGGACTAACGGTTTGTTTGATAATACACATATTTCCACTGCGACGGTGGCTGTGTACATAATTATTGTTATTAACCGAATATCACGAACGTTCTGCCTGGTGAAAAAAGAAGGGACGATGGAGATTTATTGCGGCTTGTGATTGAACGAGTAGAATTCGGTTTTGCGGCTGGCAGACGAGGGAAGCTATAATACCGTGAAGCATATTGGTGCCATAATCAATTGTCCGACTGTCAGAGTTTAACACGGTTAATCGCTGCTAATTTATTGTGCCATTGCGAACCGGGTGTTTATTGGTTCGTTTAACGCGGGGAATTCAGCATAATGTGATTCAGTCGGTGAGCGAATCAACATATTAATTGGTTTACATTTTGATCCTAAATAAATACATAAGTTTAATTATGTAGCAATGAACTTGATTAATTTACGTAGCGGAAATTGGCATTTGTTGAATTTAATTGTAAACCTTGTAGATTTATTGATGAATATATTTTTAATATTAATTATTGCTTTTATAGCGCGAACTACGTTTTTTTTTAAATTCCGATTTATGGCGATTTATTTCTGATTTCATTGGGTTCAGTCGATGTGGCAGACGGTGCTCAAATTAATCGAGGGGTGGCTGTTCAGTCAGGCTAACTGCCCAGCTATGGACTAGATATGTAATGTAAACGTTTTCGTTTAATCAGCATAAAGTGCCGATTTCCGGCATCAGGATTTCTGTTGTTTCCATTATAAAAACGAGTTGTGACCAACCTGTCTGCTTTTCGATTGTGCCATGGTAGCCGGAAGTGCATCATGACGGCAAGAGCGCAGAGATCAGGGGCTGGTACGGATCGTCATTGACCAGATTAGTAGACCCTGCTGCAATGGCTCCAAAAATCGTATGTTGAAAGTGTTTTAAGCAGTTTCTATTTCAGTTAAAAGACCGATATTAAACGATAGATTTTTTTAATTCTGTTTTGTATTTTTGAGACAATACTGTATACTACTGAATTCTCTGCAGGGGACTAAGAAGCGCAGGCAGTGGAAAACGATGCAGAATGAGAATTTAAGAGAAATTAAAATTAGGAATAATTTTATGTGGAGAAAACTGGGGAGAGGAAATTTTACCGTGATTTTTTCGATTGAATATGCAGAAATTTACGATCGTTTTAGTATCGTTTTAGTATGCAGAGAATTTTTAGAAGCTAATGTAATCGGTGCTGATTTTTTTTGGAAATGTATTGACCTGGGAACTGTACATCGAAATAAAAACTGATACCTTATAAAAATATTAAAAGTCTTATAGAAATAAAGATCCTTATAGAAATTTCCTTATAGAAATAGGAAGTGTTAATAAAAATCTTGTAAGTCTTATAAGAATTCCTTTGTTAATCTGCCGGTGTATATTTTGAATTTTATACAGTGAGTGAATTAATCTGAAATTTAAAAATCCCATTAATTCCGCAGTGTGGAAGACGGCTTGTTGGGTTGGTGTTTGCGTGGTCTGATTGAACGGTCGGCTGGGCATAATTGTGTGTGCGTGATTAAGGTAGCGTAGAGAGTGCTGTTGGGCTGTTTATTGGCATGTGCAGGCCCAATGTGAAGTTATGTATATTTGCACTGTCCAGCAGTAATTAAGACCTTGTTGTTTCTGACCTTGACTGACAAGCTGTGACAATTCATACACAGCTACTAGCACAGTCTATATCATAATGTACTGCGACGTGAGAACAGCACAAAATGCCCCACTTAGCGGCTGCTTTCCGACCTAACCGACCGACAAAATTATCACCGCCAAAATCGTTTTTATATTTGCACTCGCGTTCTCCCCTCAATGCATTTATAGTCCAGTGTTGTATTCTGTCATGATAAAGTGCTTAATTTATTTGTTTCTCTTAATTAAATACGGTAACTCTTCCTACTTACGTTTTTGAATTTATTCTTAATTTTTTTGTAATAAAACATTTGCAAATAAAATTTTCACTCAAGTAAAATAACGAGGATAAAATTGGTGTTTTTACAAACCTATTTGTATAAAACCATGTACCGGAAGTAGTAATTATAGGAAATTTGATTATAAAATTATTTTTTTCCAGGCGAATATAAATCATGTACCGGAAGTGCTTAATTGAGGAAATTTTCGACTGTTTTTTATAGAATAAATTGATGTATTGCAGGTGATAATAAAATAAATAATTTTTATTTTGGAAAGGCCGAAAATCAGAGTTATGGAAAATTGCTGGCATATAAAAAACTGGCGGCCCTTGAATAATGCAGTCGGTGCAGTGTACTGTGCAGCATGAATAGGAAATTAAAACTCAAGTGGTGTCGTTCAAGTGACATATGTCCTTCAGTTATTTTGACAGACAACACTGACCGCATAAACTGTTTATGCCGGCTATTTTCACTTTCCACAATGTGATGCGCGACGCCAAGCATTTCCTTTTCAGACTGATTTATTTATAAAATATCCCACAATTTCTCGCCGAATTTGGATTAACTGAATAAATACGCGTATTAGCTGCGTTTGTTATACTGGAAAATTTAGAGCTGCTCCAAAAAATGGATCAGTAAAATAGAGAAATTAAATCAAAATTGGTGATAAAATTTCTGATTAATATTTTCTCGTTTGATATGAAAAAATGTAATGATTTTGTACAGGTTGATGAATTGAAATCTCACCGTAGTGTGGCACAGCATGTGTTCTTGCATGATTACAGCGGAACGGGTTGTTAAAATTGTGTAACGCATACCGATTCACTATCATCGCCGCTGCTGTTATTCACACTCATCCATCATGCGCAATCTTTTGTGTCACGATAATTGTGTATTTGTGGCAAGTGTGCTTCATTCATGTTTAACCGCTGGCTAATGCACCACCGGTAACCGGTGGTCTTGACAAGCGTTTTTTGCAACTGCCGGTCTAATTCGTTTGACAAAATTTTTATAGAAACCTTCAATAATTATTTTTCTTATATAAATCTCAGACTTATTCCGTGCATCAGTCGCGCTTTGATTTTAAAAAATATCTGGCCCAAATCAGTTCTAAGACAATCAAAAAAATATATGTAATAATCAGAATGAAGCCGATATTTATTCGATTATTTCTAATTAATTCTATGAATTTGTTTTTTTAATTGTTCTGCGAAGATTTTGGATTTTTGTGACTATTGCAGCTATCGCTAACGATTTGCTATCTAGTAATCAGTTGAAATAATATTATACAGTAAAAGTATTGTGTAACAGTAAAATGATAATTTCTAAATTAATACGAAATTAATACAAAAACTAATGTGAAATTTCTAGCAGATTTTCTGTAGCTTTTTGCGCTGTAATTAGGCTAACATTTACGAGCGTGTAACATGGCCGGTTCGTGCTGGACCAGCGCAACAATTGCACGTTCTGTCGTAGCGTATTCGCAGTGTTCTGCCGGCGTTGTGATCCAGCGGAGCAATTTAATCGCACTTTAATTGAGACCGGCTTCCGGTGGCTGGTGAATATTTATGGCATTGTCCACTTGAACGGAACGTGCGAATTTTCCATATATACCGGCGTGAACAGCGGCTAATTCGCTGCTGGTCATTATGATCATTTACGCGGCATAATGGGCTATCTCGACCGGAAACAGCAATTCACGAAACAACCACATGCAGGCTGCTTTTGTGTTCGTTATGCGTGCCATACGCGTCTGAAGTTTGAACGATATTTATATGTTACGTGGGCAGTTTGTTCCGTGTTACATGGTGATAAGATAAAGACGAAAGACTAAGATAAATTAACGAAAATGGTCATTGGACGATAAAAAGTGTCTATATGTAATGGATGTTATCCAAATGCGATCCAGTGAAAACTAAAAAATCAAGAGATTAATTTCTAAACAATTAAATTTAAAATTAGGAAATTAATACCTGGAAAAATAAGTTGATGTTAAGAAATTAATTTCTGAAAAATTAAATTCAAGAAATTATTGCCTGGAAAAATAAACTGTAAACTATATAAAAAGCTCGATGCAGATATATATGTGTGGACGTTGCGTTATTATTTTTTTCGTTGGATGTCGTCAGGTATAGCTGCGGATGGTGAAGTGTGGACGGTCCTCTTTGATTGACCACTGCTGCAGCCTGTGATAAGTGGACATAATACGTTAAAACGGGAAAATGCCCTTCGTCTCCCCGGGCGACTACATCTGGATCGAGCCGGCGCCGGCGGAACGGCGTGGCGAATTCGACGTGGCCATCGGGGCGCTGGTCGTCTCCGCCGACTCCAACGGGATCATCGTCCGCGATGACGACAGAAAGGTCATTAATCGACTATCCTAATACACTTCCGTCGATTTTAATATATATATTTATTTACTAGTATTCCTTTTTTCAGTATTCCGTAATTAATAATAAATTATTACTGTAATTTCGTAATTAGTTTTAATTAATTGATAACTTTTTGCAGGAAGCGCGGATCGATCCCGAGAAGCGTGTGACGAAGCACATGCATACCTCGTCCAAAGAAGGCGTTGAAGGTGCAGTATTTCGGATATATTCTTACAACCGATACAAAAGCGGAGAAGCGCAACGAACAGCACTAAAATAATACGTTGATCATCGCTGTGTGTTTTTGCAGACATGATCTCACTGGGTGACCTTCATGAAGCCGGTATCCTGCGCAATTTGCTCATCCGCTACAACCGCAATTTAATCTATGTATGTTGCAATGACAAGCCACGCTTCACTAATTTTTCCATCGTTTCTCACGAAATCGGCGTAAAAGCACATTCCACCGAAATATTCTTAATAATATGCGTGATAACCGGTGCAAAATTCATAGTTAGTGTGGTGATAGTTGAGACCATGTAATGATGAATAATTTAATATTTGCAATGGTTAAACGAATGCATATTTGTGGAGCGTGTGGCCTGATTTTGTGGGATGTTGTAGACGTACACCGGGTCGATTCTGGTGGCGGTGAACCCGTACCAGATCCTGCCCATCTACACGGCCGAACAGATCCAGGCCTACCGCGGCCGGCGCATCGGTGAATTGCCGCCGCACATCTTCGCCATCGGCGACAATTCCTACACGGATATGCTGCGCTACAAGCAGGATCAATGCATCATCATCAGGTCATTTTTGCACAATTTTTTATGACAATTTCCAACATAATCAAGCTCGTGTTGGCGATGCCGGGTCGCCGACGTGCATTTTCCGTTAAAAATCACCCTGATAAAAATTTACACTGTTTTATATTTTTTAAAAATATTTTGTGTTATTGACTTGTTGAGTAAAACAGTTTTACAATAATATATAAACTAATTTTCCACACAAATATTATTTTTTAGCCGCGACAATTGTAATCAATTTTCAGCGGAGGAGAAAACTATTTAAACCTAAACTTACGTTTGATATATAGATGCAATTACACGTAGATGCATTGTTAATAAATTGCATTGTTAATGTGTAGATGCATTGTTAATAAATTGGCAATTAAATTTTAGTAGTGACGAAAATGACCATAAACAAAATTTACGATTTGTATAAGCGTAATTGGGTATTTGACCCGATAGTGATTAATTGTTTCCGGAAAACAACTGGCTTCTTACGCTTTTGGTTGTAGTGTATTTATCGTACAATTTAGGTATATTTATTCGTTGAATAATTCGTATAATATTGCGCGCAGTGGCGAAAGCGGGGCGGGGAAAACGGAGAGCACGAAGCTGATCCTGCAGTTCCTGGCGGCCATTTCCGGTCAGCACTCCATGATCGAGTCGCAGATCCTGGAGGCCAACCCCATCCTGGAGGCCTTCGGGAACGCCAAGACCATCCGCAACGACAACAGCAGCCGTTTCGGCAAGTACATCGACATCCACTTCAACAAGGACGGCTACATTGAGGGCGCCAAGATCGATCAGTATCTGCTGGAGAAGTCGCGGATCGTCAGCCAAAGCGAGGGGGAACGCAACTATCACATCTTCTACTGCATGCTGGCCGGCCTGACCATGGACGAGAAGAAGAAACTGGAGCTGCAGGATGCGGCGCATTACGATATACTAACGAGAGTACGTATTTCCGAAAGATGAATTTTTGCGACTATATAAAATTTAATTTTTGACATCAAAATTTCGGATGTATAGCCCATGATTTAGCGCCAAGCCGGTACTCGGCATAATTTTGTAAATACTTCTAGCATGAAGTACATACCAGAAAGTCGCAACCGGAAATAAAATTAATTATCCTTAAAATGCACAAACGCAAGAATACTGTATTTGTTCAGTCGATACAAATATAAAAGGAACTATTCAAGAATTTTAATTAGTGTATTACACCTTTGCTAGTCGATTAAATTTACAAAAGAACTGTTTGCATGAATACAAAGAAAATAAAGTAAACATAAATGCTTATATACAGTACAATAAATGTGTAGAAAGAATATCGTACAAGATACTGTACCTTATAATATTATTATCATATGAGAAAATATACGAAATCAGATAAATAATATTTGTACAGAACGTGCTAAATGTGACTTTTTTGCTTGAATCAGGGGCGGAGTCTAACCTGCGATGGACGGGATGACGCGGCGGAATTTGCCGACATCCGGTCGGCGATGATGGTGCTGATGTTCAACCCGGAGGATATCTGGGAGGTGCTGAAGATCGTCAGTGCGCTGCTGCATCTCGGCAATATCAAGTACAAAGGTGAGACGCTGTGAAGATGATGGGGGTGCAGAGGATGTCGGTAACTAAGGATTGTGTTTTGCAGCCACGGTGATCGACAATCTGGACGCGGTGGAGATCCGCGACATGGGCTGGATCAATCGAGCGGCGCGCCTCCTGGAGGTCAACAATAAGGAGCTGAACGACGCGCTGACGACGCGCAGTATCATCGCGCAGGGCGAGATCGTCATCTCCACCATGGGCGCCGCGCAGAGCATCGACGTCCGCGATGCCTTCGTTAAAGGTCAGTGGTCTAGATATCATGAGAATTCCATTATTAAGATTCCATTAATTGATGAATTTTCGAAAAATACAGTATGTACATACTTGGGTAGAAATTGTTTTAAAATTAAAATCAAATAGCATATAATTTACGACTTCTGATAAATAAAAAATGCTGTTTGTATTTTATTGCGTTGCTATATGCAATTTAATAAATGCGTGGATGTATGGAAGCTCTCTGCGCAGGGGTTAGCAATTTTTCCCGGTTTTCAGGCATTTATGGCCGGATGTTCGTCTGGATCGTGGAGAAGATCAACCAGACCATCTACAAACCGAAAAAGTCCACCCGGCATCAGCGGAACAGTATCGGCGTGCTGGACATCTTCGGCTTTGAGAATTTCGATCACAATAGGTAATTCACACAGCTCGCGGCGGACGTTTTCGGCACTGGTACAGGTTATCTATCTGATTACAGTTTTGAGCAACTGTGCATTAATTTCGCCAACGAAAACCTCCAGCAGTTCTTCGTGCGGCATATCTTTAAGCTGGAGCAGGAGGAGTACAACCAGGAGTCCATCCAGTGGCGCCACATTGAGTTCGTCGACAATCAGGACTGTCTGGATATGATCGCGGCCAAACCGCTGAGTATTATTGCCCTCATCGACGAGGAAAGCCGCTTTCCCAAGGTAAGAAAAGAAACACAAACCAAAATACCACATAAAATAACTAGAAATTATTGCGCAATATAACAGACAATAAACCGTGTTCTTTAGACTATGTCATATCTTATGAATGATGTAGCGTATGTACATTAACAATTATTCTGGCTACAGATTTTATTGGGTTACTCCCCGATTCGAATAGATTTTGCATCACTAATTTCATCGGTTTTCAAGAACTATGTAATTTATGTATTGCTGATATATATTTATTCAGTTGTTTTATGATTGTTTAGCGGTGAGCTAAATCAAATACTAAATTGAAATATAACTGTAGAGACCAAATAATCAATTAAAACTCGAATAAATTAATGGTGAATGAATTAATAATTAAGATACAAAGAATTATTTCGGTCGATATGATGGATTCTTATATTATATAAAATTATATTTTTGTTAAATAACCTAAGTTATATTTTTTTATTTCAAAATTTATTGGTAATTTCTTGGTATTAACAGGGCAGCGACAGTACGATGCTGAACAAGATGCACGCCCAGCACGGCACCAACCGGCACTACGTCAAGCCCCGTTCCGACGCCAACACGAAATTCGGTATCGCCCACTTTGCCGGCGTGGTATTCTACGACGCCAAGAACTTTTTAGAAAAGAACCGCGACACCTTCTCCGGCGATCTCATCCAGCTCATCCAGACCTCCCGCAACAAATTCCTCCGCAGTCTCTTCAAGGACGAGATCAACATGTCGGCGGAGACGCGGAAAAAATCCCCCACCCTGGCGATCCAATTCAAAAAATCCCTGGACTCGTTGATGAAACAGCTGAGCACGTGCCGGCCGTTCTTCATCCGCTGTATCAAACCGAATGAGAAGAAGAAACCACTGCTCTTCGACCGGCCGTTGTGCTGTAAACAGCTGCGCTATTCCGGGATGATGGAAACGATTCGCATCCGGCGGGCGGGGTACCCCATCCGCCATGTGTTTTACGATTTTGTCGACCGCTATCGGGTGCTGGCGCGCGGGATCCCGCCGGCGCATAAAGCCGGGGATTGCCGTGAGGCGACGCTGCGGATTTGCAAGGCGGTGCTGGGGAATGTGGATTATCAGCTGGGCAAGACTAAAGTCTTTCTCAAGGTACGTCGAGTGTTTGCGTTTACATTGGAGCATCTTTTAGGACACTCCACAGTTTCTAACAGAATCCATGCAAAAGTGATTGCAAGAACTTGTACATAATAAAAAAAATGACTAGTACATAATAATGGCAAAAATGTTTTAGCAATTGTATTAAACTAGAGCAGTTAATTATTTAAGCACTCTGTAGTATTTGCTCGCACGGTTGCACCTTTGGGCACTGTGGTTGATGCTCCACTGCACTACATCAAGATATCTACATGCTCTACTCTGTAGTCACTGACTCACTGCCACATATGTTTCGGTTGCGCCATACCGTTCAGCTTTATATATTAGCAATTCTGTTTAATTGGTCATTTATTCCAATGTGGGATCTCATATAGGTGGACTCGAGTGTTGAAATCATTAAATAAATATTCAAAAGAGAAATTGGAGAGTCAAACAGCGCAACCGCACATCTGTGGTCATGACTGCAGTCTGCAGACATCTTAATGTAAGGCCTCGTCTCGAATTAATTCGTAGCGAAACCAGCTTTGGTACGGTTGCTCAACCGCACGAGGTGGCTGTATGCAGTGGCCACGCCTACAGATACGGTACGCGAAGCCACCTCGCGAGGTGGAGTTGCTGTATCGCAACGAGATTCGCTTCGAATTCGGGACAAGACCTATGTGTAGTGCAGTGTATGGCTCGCGTAGCGTTTCGTAAGATACTGTTTCGTCACTATTCACGCTTATTTAAAGTTGTAAGTGCCCATGTAAAGGGAATACAGACTACGATATTTTATTTAAAATATCAATAAATTCTCGCTGGACAACCAATTACTTTTGTATTTTGCATAAAGTAGCTCTTGTCTATAAAAATAAAATAATTCTTCCCTAGGTTTTAAATGTCCACTGGGTAGCTTGTTTCCGGTATATGGGAATTGAGTTGTGTGTCAGAAGCCGCTTGGCATTTTGTTGTTCGTACTTCGTCCCACAGAAGCGTTTACTAAATCCAGCTTGCCCGTATCGTGCATAATGAAGATTACGTATACGGTACATACCTTTGATTATTATTTTATTCAGTACCGACCAGTCTGCTGATCGGCTTAGCCAGCATATTTACACAACAAAGAAGAACTGGAAGACATGGTACATGCACAATGGCCGCTAATGTTGTTAGCATCAACACTTAATGCGCTATTATCCGGTGCGCATGTAATGGAGTAATGCATACCGTGCAGATTAACGCGGCGTTACTGCAGTCGACGTTTTCTAGATTCCTACAGTAAATCGGAAACGGTGATGTAAGCGTAGGAAAATCAGTTGCTTATACTGATAGAACCGGAATAACGGTTGGGGTTCATATAGGACGCCCATGATATTCTCCTGGAGCACGCTCGCGAACAGGTCTTGGCCAAGAAGATCATCCTCATCCAGAAATGCGTGCGCGGATACTTGTGCCGGAAGAAGTACCGTCAGATGAAGGACGCCGCGCTGGTCATCCAGAAGACATGGCGCGGTCACCAGCAGCGTAGGAAGTACCGCAACGTGAGTACAGGCTGTATCTGTATAGCAATACAATTTTTTTTTTCATTAAATAAATTTACTTTTCAAATTTTAGTTAGTTTTCTGGTACTTTAGTTTAGGCGAAGAGGTCATAAAGGTTGAATAATTTACATAAAAAATCACATTTCATTACAAACTGATTTTAATGAAACAATCGAAATGCTACACCCTTCGCCCGCTTAAAAGATGTAAATACTAAATATACATGTAATTAAAGTTATTAAATATAAATTTAGCAGATCAGGCAATTTACTGTACCTACATATGAATGGTAAGTATCTATCGGTAAAATAATTCTAAAAAAATATTCATTACAACTATTAGTTGGAAGCATTTTGAAAAATTTTAGTTTAAACTCTGAAATGATGTAATTCGTGATGTTGTGTTTGATCAATGTTAAGTTGTGTAATCACTGAATGTCCCACTGTTACAACTACAGACTATGTGGGCCTGATTTGTTTGTATGGCGTTCACTGTTGCATGTGCAGATTAAAACCGGTATCGCCCGTCTGCAAGCCCTGCTCAAAGCCCGCCAACTCAACGCCCGCTTCCGGCAGCTCCGCACCTGCATCGTCCTCCTCCAAGCGCGCTGCCGCGGCCGCCTGGCCCGCGAGCGCTACGAGCGGATGCGCCGCAACCCCGGCCTACTGCCGCCCCTCCTGACCGTCGACATGGACCAGCGGCCCTCGCCCGAGTCCAGCGCGGAAGACCAGAGCGGTTTAACCGATCCCAGCACCGTCATCGACCAGATGTTCGACATCCACGAACACGAGGACCGCAACGGCGGGAGCATCCTGCCGGCTGCTGACGAGGACGCCGGGACCCCGGTGCCGCCGGTGATGGCCACGACGCCGTCCGATGACGAGGAGATCAGTCGGCATAAGTTCCAGAAGTTCGCCGCGGCGTACTTTCAGGGGAACGCGTCGCATTCGTTTACGCGACGGTTGTTGAAGAATTCGTTGCTGCAGCTGGCCACGGAGGTGGATCGGCGCGCGGCGCTCGCGGTGTGGATTGCCATATTGCGTTTTATGGGTACGATGTAATGTAATTTTCAGGAATAGAAAAAGTATTCATCTGATTTTCATGTACGGAATTTTCGCGATAGTTAGCCATCTTTCAATGTTTTCAAAATTTTTTTTCACATAGAAAGGTCATATTTTTGCATACAATTCACTACAATGCGTGTCATGGAGGCAGAAGATAAACTAGATAACCTAATGCAGCACAAAATGTTTAGGAATTTTAAAATGAAAGCTGTTTATAAAATGAGGTAAATGTGTAAAAATTAATAAGACGGGAAAATAAAAATAGTAAGATGAAAATTCATAAAAAAATTGTGGATGCATGGTGCAGTGGGCTATGTAAACCCAGAGTGGACGTGTTTAAAATGGATGGTTTACATACCTAATATTCATACCCCCTGATTTAAACAGCTCGGAAGAGTTTCTCATTTAATGATTTAATTAAGTTCACTAACGTTACAGAATCAAAAAATTATGTAACTACCAGAAACCGAAGTGTAGAGTCGGTTGACTTTGCCACTGTGTGGATCAGTCTGCCTGCCTTAAAAATATTAGTGCAGAGTGCATTTTGCAGAATTAAAATTAATATGCGTATGACATTGAATAAACTTTTTGACAGGTGATTTACCTGAGCCAAAATACCAGCCGACGCTGAACGGTGAACCGCATAAGAACGTCTCGGTGATGACCGGCATCTACTCGACATTGGGTCGGGCCTTCCAGAAGAACGGCGGCATGGATTTCCAGAATGGGGATGGTCGTGATTCGCACATGATTGTCGACGAAGACAAATCCAAGGTACAGCATATATACACCGTACGTAATTGTTATGGATGTTTGAAGTTCATAATTAAATAACCTGGTAGGGAAGCAAATCAATACGGAAGAAAATCATCAGCATGACGATTCGGAAGAAAACCAAACTGAATAAATTGACCAAACTCAACTCCGCTGATGATGATGATGTACCGGAAGAGTATTACGAACTGCTGGAAAGCCGGCCCACGTCGCATTTGGAGAAGCTGCATTTTATTATCGGCCACGGAATTCTTCGTCCTGAATTACGGTATTAATTCGGAAACCAATTACTATTTTATCTTTTTGTTTTCATGCTCTAAACAGGTTTTGCTACCTCGCTGTTTTTTTCTTGTTTATTATTAATCTAACTACATATATATATTCTATTATTTTTTATTAATTTTATTCTGTTTTAATTTGTTCTTGAGCAAAAAACAGAGGTATTGAGTTTGTACTATTTTATCGTTGAATTTTTTTGCGATTTTATTGCTATATATTTTCGCGAATATTTTTCCGGTAATTTTTTTTATGTACGGAAGGCGTGACCTTTATTTTAGTGATGAGATTTACTGCCAAATCGTTAAGCAATTAACCGGCAATCCGAGCAAGAACAGCCACGCCCGTGGCTGGATTTTGTTGTCACTCTGTGTCGGCTGTTTCGCTCCGTCGGAGCGCTTCCTGAAATATCTGCAGTGTTTCATCCGGGAAGGTCCGGCCGGCTACGCCCCGTACTGCGAGGAGCGGTTAAAACGGACCTTCGGCAACGGAGCCCGCAGCCAACCGCCCAGTTGGTTGGAGCTGCAGGCCAGTAAATCCAAGAAGCCCATCATGTTGCCGATTACGTTTATGGACGGAACCACTAAGATGTTGCTGGCTGATTCGGCCACTACAGCTAAAGAGCTGTGTGAGCAGCTGGCCAATAAAATTCAGTTGAAGGATACCTTTGGCTTCTCGCTGTATATCGCGCTTTTTGACAAGGTCAGTGATTAATCAGCAAATTTCCTAGCGAATACGCAAACGATAACACACTCAAATTTTGGGTGGCGTGAAATCATAAATACATAAAAATTCTTCCGGTATTGCATTATGTTCGAAAAAATTTTTGACGGATTTACAATTTGCCCAAAAATTTTGTGAGTAAAATAAAAAATTTCTGTGACCTTCAGATTTACAAATCAAATTTTAATTGAGATCTCAATGTAGAAAAATTAAAGTGGAAGTTTGCTAACTTGTGTAAAACGTTGCTTCCAGATATTTTAAATTTAAACTGGAAAATGTAAATGTGCACATGCCACATCGACATAAGCGGGAAATTTTAATTAAATTACACTTTTTATTACAGTTGATTGCAATTTCCTAAATAAATGGTATTTTATAATTAGTTGATAAAATTTTACTTCAGTAATTCAGTTTTTAATATTTAATGTCATTTTAATTACCGCATGCAGCCGCTACGCAAGTCAACCGTTAGGTCTGTGCCGTTTTAACTACATAATGTGGTAAAATTAGCTACGGATATTTAATAATTTTCCTTAAACTTCGCATTGTCAACAGGTGTCCTCGTTGGGTTCGAGTGGCGACCACGTGATGGACGCCATCTCGCAGTGCGAGCAGTATGCCAAAGAACAGGGCGCTCAAGAACGCAACGCGCCATGGCGATTGTTCTTCCGCAAAGAGATCTTCACGCCGGTATGGAAAATACACACATAATAATACAGTTAACAATTGTATGTACAATACGGCAACAGTACTCACCTGGTTCCAACGAACCGTACCGTCAGCACTTTCGATACACGCAATGAGCCGCATCGCAGCGCATTTAAACAGTACTAGTAGTTATACGCCGGCTTCTCACGCTGTTTTTTTCTTCTGCTGATTACAGTGGCATAATCCCACCGACGATGCTGTAGCAACAAACCTTATTTATCAGGTATTGACATAATGCCATTGTCATGGATAATCCGCAGATAATGGGGGGATAATGTGTATGTGTTGATGTTTTGCAGCAAGTGGTGAGAGGAGTGAAGTTTGGCGAATACCGCTGCGATAAAGAGGAGGATCTGGCGATGGTCGCGGCTCAACAGTACTATGTGGACTTCACCACCGATGTGAATTATGATCGACTGTTGAGTCTGGTGCAGCAGTATATTCCCGATTCGTATATTACGGTAATAACACTACCAACACATAGATCCCACTTAATATATTGTATATATTTTGAGGAATTCTGATTACATTTTTTAATTAAGCGATTCTTGTTCAAATTTTAGTTATACGTTGCAAAAATTTAAAGATTGCTTTATCTTCAGTTTTTGTTTTCATCAAATTGTTTTTTTTAGATATTGCAATAAATTTTTTAGATGCCGATGTTTGCAATTCATATTCGTTTGTGAAACAATCTTTTCAACATTTTGATTCCTTATAATTCTCACGTGCGGGTTTAAGAATTTAGTTTTTAGGTTTTTCTTATAAAACGGTTGTGTTGTTAACATGTGGCTGGAATTACTTTGAAACCATTAAATTTGTCACCGTTGTAATTTAAATTTTTTTACAGTTTTCTGACAACGTTTAGTTTCTAAAGAATTATGATTTCTATTCTATTCGGAAAGCCTTTTGTTTTTCTTGTGTTTGCTAAATTGTATTATTTTATGTCGAAATTAAACGTTTGACAAAATGGGATTTCTACATGAATTTTGTTCCGTCGCTTTTTTCTTATGCATCTGTTTTCGCAAATACGAATGGACTGTCTGTGTGGTTGCCATTTTTATTGATCTACCCTAGATTATTTCATGTTACTGATGTTATGAGTGCTTGTATTATTAATAATAAATTCAAAAGCAGCAATATGAATTTAATATGCAGTAATTGTCCTTAATCGTTGGTGGAGTCATATTAACCTTCTCTTGACCTTTCCAACAGAGCGGTGATCGGGCCGTGGAGCGCTGGGCCAACCTGATCATGGCGGCGTACCAGCGCAGCTACTACGTCCGCGAGAAGTCCGCCTCGCTGAAAGTGAAAGAGGACATCGTGGGCTACAGCAAGTACACCTGGCCGCTGCTCTTCAGCCGCTTCTACGAGGCCTACCGGCTGGAAGGCCCGCCGCTCCCCAAGAACGATGTAAGATGCGTCCGTGCTTGCGGTTTGCGTACGCGGCGAACAGTCGAGCAAATTGGTTTGCCGCGTCCGCTGGCGTGATGCGTGTGAATGCGGCTTGTCAGGGGAATATTCATCGGTTGTTTGTTTATCATGCGCAGGTAATCATGGCCGTCAATTGGACCGGCGTGTACGTAGGTGAGTGACCGACTGGGTGTGCAATGAATTCCCTGTAACAATGTTTGCGAACGCTGGCACAATTCGTGGTAGTTAAAATTGTTTTAATATTAAAAAAACAATAGTCTCTTCTCTCGAGTCGAAAGGTCAAGTACTCAATACCTTTAACCGTTATAGTACAACAAAGGTCTTTTTGTGACACATAAGATTGTAAAAATAAAAAAAAAATTCGTTCAAAATTTTTTTGTCAGGTCAAACTTTGACGCTTGACTGCAGAATTGTTATTTCTATTTTTGTCACTCTAAAGTCAAACAAAATTTGACCGTTAGCTGTTGCTGTGGGCCAAGAGTGACCGTTTATACGCATTCTGACCGCCTCAACTGCTGGTACAGAAAACTAACTTCTCGGTTTGAAATTGCCAACTTAGGTTGATCATACTCTTCGCCAAACTGTTAAAAAACAGTTCAGGTAAAACACTGCTTGGGAAAAATCAACGTGCTTCCCTAGTTAATTCCCTGTTGCTGCTGCCGCACTTGACATGGTTGTCTCTCGTGCTCAGCACCAACAGCACGAGCGTCTTGATTATTTACATAAACACAGTATAGAGAAAAAGACAAACTGTCCGTTTTCTCCGTTATACACCGGCATGATCATAATTATTGATATGATGCTGGCTGAATGACGTTATGATGGAGGACGTGTCAGATGCGCGTGGTTGACGATGGACGACGTTGTCGTTATGTTGTCTGATGCGGGTTGATGTGTTGCAGTGGACGATGATGAGCAGGTGCTGCTGGAGTTGACGTACCCGGAGATCACGGGGATCGCCTGCGTCAAGCCGGAGCAGCAGGCCAACGGGATCCGCACGCAGTCCATCTTCTTCAATCTGCAGACCATCCGCGGGAATTTCAGTTTCAGATCCAGCAACGCCGAGGACATTCAGGAGCTGATCGCCTTCTTCCTGGACGGCCTGAAGCGGAAGAGTAAATACTGTGTGGCCATCCAGGATTTCAAGGTAAGGAGAGAATTGCAGATCGGCGGTGCTTAGATTGTGTAGCGTGTACTAAGGATTATCGAGGGCTGGGTGCGGAAATGCGTTTGCTTGTTAAGCGTCTTGTTAATGTTGCCGGTTTTGAGGATTACCGACGGTAGTTAACCGGATTACACGGCTTAATCGTGCATTTAACGGTTGACACGCAGGCTGAGTATACTTGTTCGTTGTTTTTGCTGATTGGTAATTGTAAACATGAGAAGTATTTTGTTTTTATTTTTTTGTAAACATGGACATACGTTTTCATTTGTTTTTGTGAACCTGGGACATTTTTTGTATTTTTTTAACATGGTTAGTTATTTGAAACGGCTTTTAAATTCGGAACCGTTAGTACACAGTCACGGTTAGGTATATCGTATTCGTGGTAAATGTTACGATAGACATTAGACAATCGTAGAGCAGTGGCAAATGGTCGATTCACATGAGTTATCCACATTGGGCAGACCCTCAGTTGAAAAGCATTTCATCGACGTCTTTCGTAAATTAAATTGAAACCGTTAATATGTAAATTGTTCTCAATTATTTTTTTCTTCACTTTGAAGCAGAATTCTTTGTGGAAATTGTTGATTTTGAACGTCAAACGCTATAAATTGCAGTAATCATGGTCGGTTAAGACGATCGTGGTGCACTTACAGAAATGGATGCAAAAGATATCTTTAAGGATGAAGTTTTTTAATATTATATAATATTTTTGTTGTTTCTTGTAGAATGTGCGTTTCACTACAAGTTTACGTGTTAAAAACATGTACTGTATATAATTTTGTTCAAATACATATATTATAAAAGCAACTAAATCAGATACCTACATACTTGGTATGTGCGTATTTTCAGTATGTATGTATTTGGTATGCATGTATGAACAAGAACACCATATATGGTTTCGGCTGTTTTACTGTACCATCATGTGTATATCTTGTTAGGCTCCAACAGAGAACTCCTCCTTCCTCAGCTTCGAGAAGGGCGACCTGATCATCCTGGAGAACAACACCACCGGCGAGAGCTTGCTGAACGGCGGCTGGTGTTACGGGCGCTGCGAGCGCACCAACAAAGTGGGCGACTTCGGGTCGGAATGCGTGTACTTGTTGCCCACCCTCAGTAAGCCGCAACCCGAACTGCTGACCCTCTTCACCATGGACCCCATGACCATCATGGACCTGAACAAGATCACGGTGCAGGAACCCACCGCCAAGTTCCACACCCTGGAGCACTACGCCGCCGAGCACTTCCGTCAGCCGGCCAAGAAGGGCCCGGTCATGGGCATCCCGTCGCCGCTAACGACGGTGCGCAAGAAGGACAAGGAGGAACTGTGGAAGCACACCAGGGAGCCCATTAAGCTGCCGCTGCTCAAGAAGATCCAGGTGAAGGATGAGCTCAGCCAGGAGGCCTGCTCGGCGTTCCAGGCCATTATGAAGTATATGGGCGACCTGCCCAGTAAGAAATCCAGGTGAGAAAACAGTCTGGGTGAATTTTTACATTTTTTTCACAACTTTACTGTAGAGTATGCACTTGGTTCACGGTGAAAGTTATAGATACGAGGGTCACTCAGAAAGTAATGATAACTATCGCACGATTTTTTATTGCATCAGCGCTTTCCTCGTATTTTCTCAAAATACTGCCCCTTCATCTCTATGCAACGCAAACATCTAGTCTGCCACTCATCAAACATTTTCGAAAAGAAATTAGGTGGTAAATTAGAGATCGCTGTATTGATATTTTCTTCCAGTTCTTCATCATTTTCAAACTTTTTACCACGCAACAATTTTTTCAAGCCAGGAAATATTTGGAACAGATAAAGGACTAAGGTAACCTAAGAAAAATAATGTGGAACGATACTTTTACTCCAGGCCGAGAAAAAAAAATAAAGCAGGAACGGAGTGCTTATCTGTGGATTTTCGCGATATTGCACCACACGGATGATACCGTGTCAAAAACCATCTTCTTCTGCTTTATCAGTAAGAAGCTGCAGCACACCCTTGACACCTTTCCTTCCATAATGCTTAGACCCTCTGCTATTGCTTCGGGGTCGGAAAAGAATCCTTCACGATCAGGGTTTCGACTATGAGGACTTTTCGAAAGTGAAAACTGAAAACATATTCCAAAATTTGAGCACCGTTGTCAAAACGCAGTTCTCGGTGCGAGTTCGCTGGAACCAGCTGGCAACATCAGCAAAGAATGGTCCTTACTAAGGCAACAGAACAGGCAATGCAGCATGAAAAAATTCTACACTTCTCTCTGCAAATCAATTTTTCAAAATAATATCATGAAAACTGGCCAGTAATTAAGGCAACGTTTTCAGTGATCAGTGAAAAATCAGCGCTACCCAGCCATGTTCAGAGCCTTGTAAACCGCCAACCTTAGGCGGTATGGCCACGGCCATTGCCCTATGATCTAGTTATGAATGCTACAGTTTTTAAAAAATTAGTGCATAATTTTATGATTACTAACTGATACTGATTATCATTACTTTCTGAGTGACCCTCGTATTTTGGCAGTTACACATGACTTTTTTAAAACATTTTATTGCTTTCTACATTGGTATAAGATTATGCGTCTAGTTATTATAATTTTTATGAAACATGTTTTTTATTTATCTACCTGTACGTATTTAATTTCACATACAGTATCCATTTTAATTTAAGTATTTAATTTAGGAAATACCTGTTTAAGTTTGTATACCTAATTTTATTAAAAGTGAAGTATCAATTCGGAAAGTATTTTTTTCCCGGTTTTTGATGCACTCACTGTCAAATTTACGTATCTGTTCTAAATACATACTTATGTGTGATATTTAAGTTTTTTAATTTTTAGAAACGAAGGAAAGTAATAGGGTTAAAATTGTGTTGAATTTTGCAGAGTGTCGAATGAACTAACCGATCAGATCTTCGAGAAAGCACTGAAGGAAGACCTACTAAAAGACGAAATTTACTGCCAGATTCTGAAGCAGTTAACCGACAATCGCAGTCGTGTGGGCGAGGAGCGTGGCTGGGAGTTGTTGTGGCTGGTGACCGGCTTGTTCGCTCCCAGTGAGAACTTGTTAAAGGAGTGTATGGCGATTCTCCGATCCCGACAGCGCCACCAAATCGCACTGGACTGCATTAACCGGCTGCAGAAGACCAAGAAAGCCGGCACCCGCAAATATCCGCCACATCAGGTAAGCAGTTTTCTGGTAAATTATATTTCCCAATAATTATTCTACGAAAGCAAAATGCATGATGTCGGACGATTTATGCAGGTTGAAGTGGAAGCCATCCAGCACAAGACCACACAGATCTTCCACAAAGTGTACTTCCCGGATGATACGGATGAAGCGTTCGAAGTGGACTCGAGCACGAAAGCCAAAGATTTCTGCCATAATATTTCCCATAGATTAAATTTACGGTAAAGTTAATGAAATTCCCTTTGTATTAGTATCGTGTTCTAATTATTTTGCTGTGTATTATTACAGATCTTCCGAGGGATTCAGTCTGTTTGTTAAAATTGCCGATAAGGTCATCAGTGTGCCGGAAACGGACTTTTTCTTCGATTTTGTTCGGCATTTGGTAAGACTTTTACAGAGTAATTTCTTCACGCTAAGAAATCTGGTGCGACTATGTCACAGTCGAGAAAACAGTTGCGCTGTTATTTTTGCACTGTGATAACGGTTTTTGCATGAAGTGCGCTTTATTGCAGACGGATTGGATCAAGAAGGCCAAGCCCAGCAGCGGCACGATCATCCCACAGTTCACCTACCAGGTCTTCTTCATGAAGAAGCTCTGGACCAACACGGTGCCAGGGCGTGACCGGCAGGCCGACCTCATCTTCCACTACCACCAAGAACTGCCCAAATACCTCCGCGGCTTCCACGATGTCAAGAAGGAGGACGCGATGAAGCTGGCCGCGTTGATCTACCGCGCTAAATATGGCGAGAGCAAGAATGAACTGCAATCCATCCCCAACCGACTCAAAGGTAACACCATGAAATTTTCTGTATTTTGTACTACTCTAATTACCAGCTTACTGAATGTCGGATATTATTATTTTTTGATTAGGGACAGAATTAATTTGCGAATCTGTGATTAACAATTTTGGCAACTTTTTTTGTGATTTGTCCTGTTAAACTGTTCGTCGGTAAAAGACCATTGAGATTTTAAACTGCCGAGTTTATCGCGCCGAAATGTGATGCTGAATTGTCGGTGTATCGGTATGTTAGTCGTTGCGCTGTATCGAATTATGGTTGAAACTTAGAATTTTTTCGCTGTGTCAAATGTAAGAAAACTGTCACTTTCACCGTGAAAGTGAAGTGAAAGTCGGCGAAACGTGTAAGCAGCTCATCGGACACGTTAATAAGCGAATCATTTGGTTGTTGCAGATTTGATTCCGCTGGATTTAATCGGAGCACAGAACTCATCCGACTGGAAACGCTCGATTACGGCGTCGTTTAACGGCGATACCGGCTATAGTGAGGATGACGCTAAAGTGGCCTTCTTGAAATACATCGCCAAGTGGCCGACATTCGGTTCGGCCTTCTTCGAAGTTCGGGTATGCGGAAATTTAGAATTACGGAAAACAGAGTGGTTCGTTAACACAGTCACACTCATCACTTGTTGTGAAAATGGTTGCAGCAAACAACCGATTCGAATTATCCGGAGCGTCTGCTCTTGGCCATCAACAAGAACGGCGTCAATCTGATCGATCCGGCATCAAAGGTAGCAAAATATTTGCATAGAATGATAAATGTTGATATTAATAAAAATGATCAGCAGTGCACTACTCTGGCAATAAAAAGACTACATTATAGAATACGCAGTACTGTAAAACGTAATAAGATATCACGAAAATAGAATGATCAGCGATAGCTGGGGACGACTAAAATGTGCTCTCGTCTGAAATTAGAAAATTCTGGATGTTCATCCCTTTACGAGGATTTCCAACTGGAGCAGCGGGAACACCTTCTTCCACATGACCATCGGCAATTTGGTGCGCGGCACCAAACTGCTCTGCGAAACCGCATTGGTACGCGTTATTCAGACTGGTTGAATTTGTTGATGGCTAAGTTTTGTTAGTAGCAATCCAAATTTTCTGCGGCAGTGAACTTTATAATGATCAACTGATTTTAAAATTAACTTAATACACTATATGCAGTAATACATTATATATCTATATATACTATTATGTATACTTATGCATTTATATATACATTTATACGAAGGACATTCCAAAAATAATTTTCCCTACTTTGTATCTCCCTTCAAAAACGCATTCAGCTTTTATTAGCCATATCGTTAGAAAAGTCCTTCACTAAGGAACCGAAACAAAACATAACTCACCTAAACTCCACTAAAACAGAAAAAAACTGCGGAGAAAACCATGAAGGGTCTTACGCACTTTTTCACGTGATTTCCGCGGACTAATTTTGCAATTTTTCTCAATCGCCTCGCCAAGTTTTTGAGAAACAAAAAATGTGGTAACGTTAGAAATTCTTTCTTCTAACAAAAGAGATTTTAAAATAAAATGATGTGGTCCATCCGCTTGTGAGGGAAAATTGAAAGTGTCTGGGAGTAGGTACCAAAAACAGAAAGCTTCTTAGCATCCTTACGGTAAAAAAGTGACAAAATTCATTAAAAAATTTATTTGTGCCGGTGAGAAGTAAACTTCTTTGTTATCTTAGGTGCGCACGAGTGGCCATAAAATGCGTTTTCTTTTAATACATAGAACGATGTATTCACAGAAGCGAGAAGGCTAAAAACCGAGAACTTTGGTGTCCTACAAAAAATAAATGTTTACCTCAAACTCGGAGCTTTTCAAAGCGTTCTGCTAACTTCGTGATAACACTAACACTATTTGCAGTTGATACTTAAAAGTAATCGTCGAAATAATTTCAAGGACGAAACTGACAATAAAAAGAATGATTTCCAAAAAAGGACCTGAAAAAACTGCAAACGTACCTCAAGGATTTCGGTTTTTCGTTTTCCCTATTCTTCACCGAAACTTTTAATTGTCGTTTCCTCGGATAGGTTACATAATGGTTTATCCAAGAAAAAATATATCATTTCTGTATTGTGTCAACTGACGGAGAGGTAAAACAGGGAAAATTATTTTTGGAATGTCCTTTGTACTATATATATACTATACTTAAATACATTATATGTATTAACTTAAATACATTATATTTGGGTTGGAGTACTAATCAGTAAACACGCTGCTTTTCAACAGGGATATAAAATCGACGATCTGCTGACCAGCTATATCGGATTGATGCTGCAGCAGATGAACAAACAACGCGGTCATTCCAGTCGGCTGAAAGTTGACGAGAACTAAACATGTGTTCGTCGTATGGCCCGGTTCTGTTGTGATTTTTCCTAGTGTTCTTCCTTGTATGCCGTTTTGAATTACGTTTTGTCGGTTAAAAACTGTGCTTCGTTAAATTATCGCGTTTTGATTGTGAAGTTTTGATCATTTAACACTCTGTACAAGTCGTTATTAAATGTGCAAGTCTATTCAAATAACGATAAACCCAACTCATAAACCGAAGCGGAGTACAATGCGTGAGTGACCTTTTGTGTGATTTGGTGAATCCTTGAGAACTATAGTGACCTTTGCCGTACTGTAAGGTTGCCATTTCCAACAATGCTGCAGTTATTAGCCAATCAGTTTGCTACATTAGAAATTACCACAAGATTATTGTCATCAAGATTACGCCACAATTACTTACGGTAAATTACCTTATACTTATTACGCAGTGCACGTAGCTTTTATACCAATGTTAGCGAGATAAAAACGGTACGGTAAATTACTCGCTTTCTACTGCTAGTAGTCCTCTTAAAGGATTTGGCCCGGTACGTAGCGCCAAAATCGTGTACATCAGCGAGAACTTTCGCTGTCGCGCGCTCCCAAACACTTTGTATTGCTTTAAGACCTCTTGTAGTCAAAGGATTTGTATATATAGGCGTGAAACCCGTTTGCGCGCGCAACATCAGGCTGGAAAGTTATGGTTGAATCAAAATTTCTAAAAGTTCAAACGCATTCAGGTGTAGCAAAGGTCTGATTATAAACCGATCTTGTTCAACTTTTGACACGTAGATGCACCTTAGTTATTAGTATAAAGATCGATTTTACACCGAAACACAGCTGCACTTTTTTTTCAAATTTTAAAATGCATTTCAAAATTTAAAAATTCATTTTGAAATTCGAAAAAAATTGTGCAAATCTGTTTAGGTGTAAAAAACGATCTTTATACTATTGCGCATTTACGTGCAGAATTGTAGGAAGATCGGTTTATAATGAGACTTTTGGTAAACCTGAATGCGTTTAAACTTTTTGGAATTTTGATTCACCCAAAACTTTTCCAACCGGATGTTGCGCGCGCAAACGGGTTTTACGCCTATATATACAAATCCTTTGGCTACGAGATGTCATAAATCAGTGCAATAAAAGTGTTTGAGAGTGCGCGACAGCGAAAGTTCCCATGGATGTACACGAAGCTGGGGCCGTCACTGCCATGTACCGGGCCAAATCCCTTGATCATCTGGTTGTGTGATCAGCTGAACGCCCTTATTGTCAGATACGAACCGAAACCGAGAACGATGCAGCGCGAAATCCAACACAATTTCAGATTGGAAATATAGATATTCGGGAATATTCATTGCAAGTATTCTTCAGTTTTTTACAAATCATGGCTTTGGTACGTATATAACTGAAATGAGCACACACATTTTCACTACCCTCATAATTTCCGCAACGCCCATTTCTTTGAACGCCCACAAAAAATATTACACATCCACCATCAGCGAGCTCGTAAACCTTTCAATGAATGGGAATTGTCTATGAGTATCTTCTGTTACTATGTACATGTCCAGTCACCCTGAATGTCTACAAGGTATAAGGGAAATGTTGCCTACACATGCCGAAAACCTACAAATGCTTTGGCAGTTTTGCCATGTCTATCTTTGGGTGGTCGGAAGCGAATTTAAGGTTGACCAGAGCAGCTGCGCCATGTCTTTCATATTGTCATCCGTACACGCTACGAAAACTTTGGTCTTCTGATGGTACCACTCTTCGAGGATAGCCGACCCCAGGTTATTCACTTCCTTTTGGTAGAACCAGGCAACGGCGAAATTCATCATTTCCATGATCACCATCGGTATGAAGATTCGTTTATGCGCGTCCATAGAACGTTGACCGTCCAGCAGCTGCGATATAAATCCGACGAAAACAAAAGAAGCGACGTAACCCATGTTGACAATCGGCACATACTTTCCCGAGCGAACTTCGTCATACATACTTTGACACGTCTTCCACCAATACGCTGTGGCTGTTGTATACGTTGACATACTGGGCATTCCAGCGTAATTTTGGCGAAAGTTTCGCAAGTGTACAAAGATGCGTATTATTTCGATCATTGCGCCGACGGGGTGCAAGAAATAGTGCCTCTGAATGATGATTGCTGGGATTTGTAAGACTATCCACACTTTCTTCCGGGAAGGTTCCGGCTGCAAACGACAGTTTAATTGAACTTTAATTAGAGACTGTTAATTTAAATGCGCAATTACATACAACCCTTACGCAATAAACATGAAAGAGTGCTTTGCAAAATTAAAACGTTTATTATTGCAATCCGCTATACGAGCACTAAAATTATTTTGCTAAGCTATTCGCAGTTGGTTAGCTCTTCGATTTTACTGTTCCTCAAGCACAATATAGGGCACTTTAACAGTTTTTCTGAATTGATATGAGTACGTATATCATAAAAATAAGGGAGAAGCCAGAGCGCTGCACGTAAATTTTTATGCTGTTTCACAAAATTAATTTTATTTTTAGTTGTAGAACTTACGTAATACTACGTATGTACAATATCGTATGCTAGCGACATACTATATCATTGAAGATAAAGTCTTCGCTGAAACCGGCAGTCGCACCAAGTACAAAAAATCGCACCAGAGTAGTTAGGAGCGTAAATGTTGCGAGACACAGGGCGACCTTAACACACTTCCAGGTATTACGCGTAACCACACATTTCACCATACAATGCCAAGGAATCCGTCGTCCACTTTCCTGTCCATCGGATAGGTCGGCACTGCATATACGCAGAACATGATTAGTCATATTCAAAACTCGTAAAGGTACAAGTAATACTCCGCTTCCGATTTGTTATCGTCATTGCTTCCTCACCTTCCGGTAGTTACCGCTTCTGTTGCGCTCGAGTTGTGGAAAACCAAAGCCCGTCAAACGGAATTACCAGAAGTTGGCTTCCGAAAGCTTCAAAAGACCTGGGACTTACCGCTCTGTAATGTGTCTACTTCTGTTTTATTGGACTTGTTCCGAGGCGACTGCATTAACACAGCCCGCTTTCTTGCACAGTCCCGTCCCGAAGCCGGTATTTGGCTGAATGCACTTCCTTCAGCACACATCGGCAATCTCCTCGATGATGAGACGATAAAAATCTCAATCGGTCTGCGTCTTGGGGCGGACATCTGCGAGCCACATAATTGCACCAAATGTCAGAAGCAGGTAGACAAGCTGGGACATCACGGCTTATCGTGCAGCTACTCGGCCGGTAGGCATGCGCGTCACGGAGGTTTAAATAGTATTGTATGTCGGGCTTGTGTTTCTGCCGGCGTCCCCGCTAAGCTGGAACCGCGCGGTACGTCCTCTACTTCAAATCGACGACCTGACGGATGCACGACATTCGCCTGGAAGAGAGGAATGTGCCTTGCCTGGGATGTGACGTGTGTTGACACAATGGCCCTCTCCCATATCCCGTCCACGTCGGTTACGGCAGGTGCTGCCGCAGCACAAGCGGAAGTGAGAAAGTCCCATTTGTACTCGTATCTGGAAGGGCGTTACATCTTTTCCCCGATCGCATTTGAGACGATGGGCCCTTGGGGTCCGGCGGCTATGGCTGTTGTAAAGGAATTGGGCAAAAGACTGCAGCAGCACACAGGAGAGCGGCGTTCACATGAATTCCTGCGCCAACGACTATCGCTGGAGATTCAGCGCGGAAATGCTGCATCTATCCTTGGGACGATGGATGGAGTGGATAGTTTGAATGAAGTTTTGCTGTTATAAATTGCATCGAGTGTTCCCTTTTCTTACCCGAAATGTGTGTTGGTTATTAATAAAAAGCAATTGGAATGAGTAATAGTTTAGGAAATAAGAAATACAAGTAATAAAAATCAGGAAAACCACAATGCATAGAAATACTACGGTAAGTGTCAAATATTTGACGTTATTTGATTCCTTACATTATACAGACACATACACAGTCCATGGCCTCTGGAAAGACGGTCGACAATCGTTTGAACGATCGATATTGGTTCATGGCAGTGATGCATTTTCCCTATACTTCTCGGGCGGCGGGCCTAATGTACGAGACATATTAATAATGTGTATGGCAGTGTGCGTCAGGCCGGTCAACGGAATGAGCTGCAACAGAAAAGGCAGCCGTTGCAGCTCAAAAGGGAAAGCGTGGAATATAAAATGCGAAAGAAATGCAAACGGTTAACGCTCTTGTGTGGTTGTATCTACTGGCCTTGCGCCATTGCAGTAAATTAACACTCCCGACGGCTTACGGTAGAACCGTGAAACCAAGAACGAAAATAATTTTAAATTGGTTGTGGGATGCTTTATGTGTCACGAGAAGACTAGCTAGATGCAAATTTCTGTAGGTGCATTAGAATTGCGACTGCGTAATCGTTGTTTCCAGTGGGCGCTCTGGAGGTGATATTCCACGTACCGTAGCTTATCGCTTCTTCAGCTGCTCACCAAAGTTGCAAATGAAGCAGGGGTACAATATACAAGACTTGCAGAATTGCGGGAGCAGCAGGACACAGAGATCCCAGGGGCACTCATGGGGTTGCTGTTAGCTAATTATAGCGCTCCACAACTCTTACGTCTGAGGACCGTTGTTTGCTGTGACTATGGGCTCACTCATGGATAACTGGATTGACTGATTGCCTTATAGTGTTATTTTGACGATTTTGTGTAAACTTCACGTAGAAATCTTTCATGAAAGTATGTTATTTAAGATGGACAAGCCAACCGTTCCGGTCGATGTTCTGTCGTATGTGTGCGGTTTTCAGAATCACTGGCTAAATTTCTTCGGCTTGCCATCATTCAGTGGAAAACCCAGATCTTGTCATCGTTGGCTGATTTGCTTAATCGTAGCGTTATACTCCACGTTCATCCTGATTCTTGATCTTGCCGGAATTTGTCGCATGGGTTTCGATGCCAGAATCTTGACCGGCCGTGACACCTCCCTCGTGGAGATCGTCGCTCGCTTGCCGGATTCGGCTAGCGTCCTTCGTGCCTTGATTCCTTTTGTCATATGTATGACCCAGAGTCCGGCATTCAGCCGTTTACAGGAAGCGCTAAATCACCTTACTTATTTATCCAACAGTGACCAGAATCTCTTGGCGCAGACGTGTCGGAAGTGGCGGCGGTACGGTTTCATCTGGGGCGCAGCGTCGGTTGTGATGGCCGTTACCACGGACTACATTAACTGGCAGTTTTGGTACAATATGCGCGACAGCATGCTGTCAGGGCTTACCAGTACATGGATGTTTACGCCGGTGGAAATGCCGGTTGCTGGATTGATTGCCTTCTATTCACTCGGCTTAACGCCATCTTCATTGTCTCCCAACAGATTCTGATAACTTGTATCATGATATCTATCATTCAGAAAGAAGCCTACAAAACTTTTATTGAACGCATTCGGAGCGCAGCTACGGGGTTTAACAGGAGACAGTGCCTCAGTTTCTTACGGCAAATTCACCAATTCCATGCGGCGGCATACACTGTCAGCGAATATGTTAATAGTGTATACGGATGGGGCGTTCTGGTCATGTACGGTCTCGATGTGATGACGGCGTGTGGATGCGTGGCGGGAGTGATATCGCTGATAATGAGCTCCCCGATCGACATGATTAACGTTAGCGCGTGGTTGAATTTCGGGATGTGGTTCTGCTTCTACGTGTCGTACTGCACGGTGTTCTTAATTCCCATTTTCAAAGCCGGGGAACAGGTACAGTACCATTCACAGTACACAGCAAAAGTGGTGTAGATAATTACTTACTGCAAGCTGTTCTTTTTTATGTTCGCAGTGGGATGAAATTCAAGTTGCACTTTATAAATTCCTAGAAACAGCCAATACAATGTCACTTGAGATTGACCTATCGCCGAGTATCACCAATATCCAAGAGCGAATTGAGGCATTGCTTTTTATTCGACGTAACCGAACCGTGGTAATCCACGCTGGAGGGTTCTTTTTTGTGACACGCTCGCTTCTGGCGCGGGTGAGTCTAAACTGTAGCAAACCGCACAAAGAAAGCTTAGTTCGAAAATATACTTCGACTAACTAGAATGATTATTATGTATAATCTTGTAGGCGGTTACGTTAATAGTCTCCGCATCTCTGGTCTGCTACGGTCTGCTACAAATCGACCATGGAACCAACGAATATTTTGTAGGCCAAAGGATGGTTAATACTTCATACGATAGTTGGATGGTTTAGTTTGCCTACTTCAATAACCGTACCACTATGAAATGTTGTAACGAAAGATGAGTTAAATCAGTAGCACTCGGAAATCGCTAGGGTACTCGATTAGTAACTACAATAAGTCCTCAATTAGCGAATGCAGAAATCTTTTCTCACTGTCGGAAACAAAATTTCAGCCTGAAGGTATCAAAATAGGCCGGCATTTTCTCTTAATATTCGACAAGTCGCAATGTCAAATAAATGTTTAAATGGTATATTCAGAAAAACGTTTCTAGGCTTATTGATTTACCTGCTTACAAATAAAAGAAAAGGGTACAGGCCAGAAATACATATCTTCGAAAGTGTGCAAAAAATGGTTAACAGGACATTTACGAATTCCCGTCCGGCGCAACTCTTTTGAGCCCATTGCATTTACTTGAATGACAGCGTTAGATAGAATTACGCAGACCCATAAGCCTGATCGCCACAGAAAGTCGAGTGATCACGAAAGCGATTCAGCCAAAATTAGGCATTATCAGTGGTTCTTTATCCCTGGAAATGACAGGCGTTGTGGATTTTGTCCGAATTTTTCATCCGGCAGAGGGTATGGTATCTTCGGTTGCGCGTATTAGATACCAAGGAGTAACCGAAAACGACGTGTTAAGATCTTTAATGGTCGTCCAACTGGTATTGCACGTAGAAGAAAACTGCCGCTGAGCTGTGGATCGAGATCCAGCCGCTCTTAACAAACATATTTAGTATTTACTCAGATTATGTCGAAAAGCAATAGTTACTCGCTCGAAAAGCAATAGCAGTCACCGCGGTTGCAAGTTAACAGCGAAAATGAATTTCGACTTTAACAGCGAAAATGTGTCAAAGAAATGCAACCGGAAAGTTAGCTATATTAATCATGTTTTTCGATACAGTGACTACGGTGCTCGAATACGACTTTTCGATTCTTTAGTCCTTTCAGTTATTGATTATTGCTGTTCCACCACGCATCCATTGCTAAAGAAATCGGCAAAAATCGTTGAACGTTGTCAGAGAAGGTTCACTAAAACCTTGCGCCTCGGCAGTAACGTGTTGAATTACGCAGAGCGTTTGAAAGAGCTCGAATGGGATGACCTAGCCACACGACGCTTAAAAAAAACGCTAATGTTCATGTACAAATTGGTTTTTCGGGTGGTTCCAATGGGTGACCTGATTGTATTGCCGCTAAAGTTTTCTGCTGCGGTGCTTGAGTCTGTTGCAGGTAACACCAGGATATCAGAACGTCTGATGAAGCATCCATGTCCAATCAAGCCGGCTCCGACAACAATTTGTGGTAGAACGGTGACCACCTCCCATGACTCGTATCTGAACCGCCTTGTGTCCGTCTGGAACGATCTTCCTTTCCAACCCGTTGCCTACGTTACTTTGAACGCGTTCACTGAAGCTCTGAAGAGAGTGAGCTTGAAGGATCTACCATCGGTTAAAGCTTTCAAAAAAAGTGCAGTGTAATTACCGTTGTTATTTTAATGTTCTCTTTATTGTTTTGTCTTGTTATACATGTGTTATGCCTACCATAGTAATTTCGGTTGCGAGTTAGTTGCAGAAGTTACCAAAAAGGCGATTACGTGCGTAAGTGTCGGTGCTTTCCTTTTTCCCACAGTTTTGTTTTGGAAATTTTTTTGAAAATGGTAATTTTACTAATATGTGTGGGTTTGGTTTTATGCATCGACCCCAGCGCGATCGCCTGCCCGCCCTTTTTCCACAATAAACGCAACTTATCGCAACCGTACCGACAACATGCAGTTTTAAGTACTTTTCATGTGCTGATGTTTGTTTTTGCATGTGTTGATGTTTTTTCTGGTTTATACTTGTTTCCGCTGGCTTTCATGTTTTCGTGGTATCGCATTTTGATGTTATTTTAACATTCTGGTTTGTTCTCCGCTGTCTGAAGCTTAGAGGGCAGTCGCTTCGTTGCAAGGACAATAAACTTCATTACATTACATTACATTAAGTGCTGGCATTCTCAATCGTGAAGCAGTTTTCCTTTTTTTTGAATGATCGGAGATGATGAGTTTCCCTTTTTTTCGGTGTTCCTTTTTTCTTCGTACTCATCCAAAAATGAATAAGTACTTACTTGTATCGCGAAGCTCTCACCTCTGTCGGCTTCTCGGTTGGTGGGGCCGCAGACAATTTGTTTATTGCTTAATTTTTGCATATGCGCGGGGCTTGGTATGTGCATGATATCCGATGATTTCACGATGACTGCAAATCAGCTGTTGTCAATGGACGTTTAAGGTTATCAGGCAAGCTGAAATTCATGTGGTACCTACCACCTTTCGGCATGAAAATGCTTGGCCACCGTCTCACCGAGAACGCTTATCTAATCAGACCACATTACAGTTCTAGCTTGCGCCTTTCCACAAATGACATACCATGACAATTGTGGTATCTGATAATCTGCTTGCTAGTATGGTGTTTCTACAGGTAGGCGTAGTCTGGACATTTTCCAGATGCAAGTTTTGTTATGCTACCTGCAGAGACCTTTAGATACCAAATTCGTATATAGGCATTAGTCTACCAATCATTCATATAAAATTAGTTTATCTTAAAGTTGCGACAGCTGCAGAAGTTGCAGCTGCAAGACTTGGCGTTGTTTTTAAAACTCATTATCTTACGGTTTCCTTTATCGTGCATAAATCTTTCTTAAAGTTTTCCAGAAGTATTTAAACATGGCGCAGCAGCTATCAGTCGTTCGTTTCACCAAAGACTTCGTTCCTTGCCGAACATCCCCCGTCACCGAATTGGGCTGGTTCGGTTTGACCAATCAGCACGAAGACCCGGCTTGCAAGGACTTCATTGACGATAAAGAAAAGCGATCGGTAAGACTTCTTTCGCAGCATTGGGATAGCATCCGAAATACTGATTTGGACGATCGATACCATCTATACGAAAGCAGAGCTGCAGAAAATCCAGTAAGTAACTGGCGACCTCTGGCCCATATGCAAACTTGGATAAAGAAGAACCCGGAAGTCTTTCACACGTTCAAGTAAGCAAATTGTAGAGTCAAAGCGGTGAGCCAACTGGAAGTATGAAAACCCACTTTCCAGTTCTCGACAACTTAACCGGAACTTTTAAGACTTCAGACTTCAAATGACTTTCAAGGAAGATTGTTCAGATTAAAATTAATGTAGTGATTACTGATTACCAACGATGAATTATCTTGCATAGCGTAAATCAGACTTTAGTCTGATGGATTTGTTTGATGAAATTTTTTTCCTGAAATGATTTTCCAATTAACAACAATTGTACAGAGTGTAAGTGGCTTAAATACGTGTGTTGATGCGTAGACCAGACATTGTCTGCTCCTCGCGGGCATTAAAACAAGCGCTGGACATTCCACACACTTACGGTTCGTTCAGTGAAACATTTCTGGCCTGCAAACGTCAAGGCACAATTTATTTGACATGTAAGAAATTTGATGCTCTGGGTAACGCACTTCCAGTCAACCATCAAAAAGCATACCGGTACGTAATCAAAAAATTTTATGCCGTAGTTGTTAGCAGCTATCTACATAATTATATTACTGTGCTACAGCATGCGCCGATATGAGCAGTTAGTAGCCGGGACTTCTAACGATGGTCAATCAGATGACTTCACCACATTTGATTATTTCTATTCCGTTATTGGTCGCACAATAGGAAGAACACGCTTGCTCTATCACCATAAAATCGACTGTATTGATCCGCAAGTGACTAGTTCGCCAGAGAACTACGTACAGCTTGTTGTTAATGAAGACAGGCCAGCGCAATCGCAAAGACAACGGTGCTCCCGGTAAGACAGATACTCGGCGAGTACGCTTCATGGTTTCGCTTTTTTACTTCAAGCACCCCTGATGGCAAGTCAATTCTGCAGGAAATATCAAAATGCCGTCAGAGGCACATGGAGCAAATGCTTCCTCAACGGTTCGCCGCGGGCGTTAGTGGGAAGGAAGAAAGATAATATACTATTCGGCTGCGCGATGACCGTGGTCGCGCGGATTCCTGATAGTGCAAGTGTTTCTGTAAGTTTTTCACCACCGTCGCCAAATACTCCTCCTCAAATAAAGGTCATGAATTTTTAAAAATAAAGGTCGTTTTTGTATTTCGTACTACAGTGTGAAAACAGGCGCTGCAAGCACTGGAATAAAGAGCGAAATATCAGCTTCCTCAATCAGTTCCTGGAATATGTGCGGAATACCGTTCAACAGGATTACGAACAGTACGTGTACTATCAACAAAGTTTGTTTTGGTTAGAAACTTAAAATCGCAGTCGATGTTTTAGCACCGTTTATGGATTCGTCGTGGACTACAGCAACCAGGATATAGCGACCGTGCGGGCTACGGAATGGTGTGCCGGGTCGGCCAACTTCGAAGCCAATAATATTTTGCGCACATGGGATCAAGTTAGCGACAACATCGGTTGCAGTTTAATTTAATCGTGTTCCTTTTAAAAGCGGCGTGCGAGCTTTGAGTTATATTATAACCTTTCAAAGTGCCGCTTAATAAAAAAAATGATTGCGTTGTCAGGATGGACCTCTCCGTCCACCTGACTTGCTGTTGCTTTTGCGCTTCGCATTTTCTGAGGAATACATCCTAGCATTGTCATGCTATTTCGGCGGATCTGCAGCACGGTTGCATTGGCTGAAGAATCCAGTTTTTGTTGGTTTTTTTTTCGTGGCGGTAACATAGCCAATAATGTCAATGCTTCCGGGTTGTTCCTTTGCGGATACGTGGACGCCCATAAGGTCCCACGTTATAATATACAGTCCAACAGTCATCGCTTAAAACTACTAACATTTCGAGAAAGGTACAACGAATGAACGTAACACATGAAGACTTGTGACCGCGCACGGTTTTTCTGCCATAAGGCTGCAAACGCAGTTTTCTCTACGGGCCGATTGCAAAATCAGTGATGCAGTTATAGTTTACTGATGGTAGAACAAGTGAAAAAACAGCACGCCCATTCAAGTCGGCCAAAAGCGAACGAACTAATTTGTGACCTTTTACAACGGTACTCCGTGCAACGGTACTTTGTACGACACGCGCTACAGTTGTCAGCCCATCACATAAGTCTCGAGGGGCGCTCCTGTGCAGCTCATGTACAGAAAGGAGTCATTTAAACTACCTTAAATGAGTATACAGCGAGCCAGAAGGAAGAGCCTATGAAAAATGTACAAAATATAATTGCCCCATAGGTTTTAGTGGTACAGGAAGTAGTACAAAAAGCCAGCAGAGGAGGTGCTGGCTTGTTTTTGAACGTGGAGGAAATTCAAACGGTCGCTCTTTGAACGGAGCAGCAGGACATAGCCGACAGCGATCCCAGTGGGCACTCATGTGCAGCTGTCAGCCAATTTTTGGCGATACGCAACAAATTTGTCTGTGGCACCTTGCAATGACTATGGTCTATGGACTATAGACGTAGTCGTGTATAACTGGATTCTCATGAAAAGCAACGATTCTGCATAATTACTGAATGGTCTCAGCGTATAAAAGCATTTATACAGCAGTTTAACTTCTATTGCTAATGATTTTATTTATTTAGTTCGACGTCCATAATTTTGACGAAAACCCTTGTCATAAATTATGTTTACTGTAAATGATTTTCTTGCATATGGCGCAAAATCGGCGTATGGGTCAAGGAAGGCAAACCAGTTATCACAGACATACATGTGTAACACGGAAAAATAATACAGTACAATGTTCGGTGATCGGTCGGCAGCCGGTCATCACAAATCACTGGATAGCAGCCAAAACGTTTCGACCTTGCCTTTGCTCTGCAAAGTTCCAAAGCAATTAAGCCGAATATTAATGGTGAACTCGAACTTCAAATAGAGGTGCAGTGGCACGTTATAGAATTGCTTTGGACCCAGGGCAGTGTACCTTTATTTCAATGTATCCTCTGGCTTCCGTTTTATAACCAGCAATTTGGTGAAGAATTTGATGGCTGCTTTGACTGATGTGTATTTTTCCTCCTGCAGCATCGTGCTCGAAAAATTTCAAGTTATCATAAACTTCTTCAAGGTTACTGAATTCGAGGCGTTTAGAAAAATACATCAGCACAGAAATCAGGGCCACCTCAGCGTTAATAAACACCACCTGTGTCAATTTTCAAGCCCAACCTTGTTCATTACTAGGTCAACACTGCCACAGCAGTACGTACCCTCTCCATGGCTCTCCATTCGACTGGCCGTATTGATGGTGTCTCCAAACCTGCATATTAACACACCGTAGAACATGTGGGGCTTGTGGGCACGCAGCACTGCCCACCAAGCAACTACTGTAGTATGGAAAGTTGGAAACTGCAAGCAGTACTTACAAACAATACCGTGGCATTCGATTTCCAACAACCCCAGCTGCACAGGGACCTGCAGAGTGAGAAAGACTGCGGTGTGAATCGTGAATACCGGCTACCAACTGTTACCGGCACACAAGAAAGTGCAGAACTGCACAAGTGATTTTTACCAGAGTGCATTCCCAGTCTGAGCTGAAAGTCGACACCGGTCATTACCATCGAGGACATCGGCTGTACCGCAGCCAGCATCCGTAGAGCTAAGTTACCAATTTCTCCAGCATGGCGGAACGCACCGTTGCGCACGGGTACGCCACTGACAACCTGTTACGCCACAGAATCAGCTCCTGCTGTTATGACATCTGAGAACTTATTGCTTTTGTCAAAGTACGTCATATGGAGCAATCAACACACGCAAATAAAAACACTGCGGAAAACAAAGAATATCATGCATGATGCAGCAGGACTATAATGGACATTTGTTACCGATCATAGTTCATACAGTAGTTCCAGCTTCGTACCATATAGGAATCAGCTATAGTTTCCACTTTATACACATCGTGTTGTTCCACGAGTCCATCCAGCAAAGTGTAAATGCGATGCAGTAAGCGAATGATAAAAAGCGGCTGGGACTGGGAGCACACATGGGCAAATTCCGGAAAATGTGTAAACAGGTTGCCAGCGTCATCAAAATTTTCGGCTTCTATTGGAAGCTTGTTGCGCAGTTTGCGGACAATACTTCAACAAATATTATTTTATATTGCAACTAAAATACACTCTTTGATTTCCAGGCACTGGAGTGACTGAGCGGTAGCTCTTTGTTAATACTACATAATGCGGAATACACCACTTTGCTTACTCGGGTAACATATCCCGCAGCAGTTCGTTAACATTGTTCTCTTCCCTGACCAACTCCGCCGTGCGTTCGGCAATTCGTTTCTCCAGCTCTAATGAGTAACGTTCCAAGCGAGAAATAATACAATCCACAACGCTGGCCACAGTTCGTCCTAAACCTGACATCTTTCTGGTGTTTTTTCCATTTAGTACTTCAATTAGATCATGTATCGAAGGGCGACGATCGGAACTATCCAGAAAACAATCTCGGAGCAGTTTTTCACCGTAAGGCGGAATTTCTTGGGCAGTCACAGCAATGCGCTGCATATCCGGAGACTTTTTCAACATGTTCAAGCAGGCTACAAAAACACTTGGTCGGATAAGTAATGCAACTGTAAAGTGACCGGTGTTTATTTGCCAACATTTATGTGTAGGTTACGAATCATATAAATTATTTTATACTGTTAAAAAATACATCAGTCATGTTTCTCCTTGAGTACTCAAACATCACCTAGTGTACTTAGTTGATCATTGAGCGAGACATCTAACGGCATTCTTCTGGTAAATACTTCAGCCATTATCACACCGAAACTATAAATGTCTGATTCTCTGCATCCAGGGTGCTTTTCATCGGCGACATTTCCGGTGCCATCCATAATTGCAGACAGTCATTTGTGTCTCCTAAATGGGCACCAGTTAAGCCGGAGATCACGCTCGTCATCCCGTAATCGGCCAGCTTGATTCCGAAGCGATTATCAGCCATAACCGTCAGGCTAGAAAGAGCACCGTGGAAGCACAATGGGCTGGAGTGGATATATTTGAGTCCCTGTTAGAAATAATGGAAGTAATCGAACATGTAGTGAGTGGCGACTCCCGCAAGACCGGCAATCGATTAAGCCAATGAAAGACTACCGGTAAATCAATCAACTATACTATAAGTAATAAGTGCATGAATTATCCGAATGAAATGCTCTGCTTGATGCAGATAAAAGTCCTTTCCAGTATGACTCAGAAAATAGTTCAGTCATTACCGAAGCCATTTCTCGAATCAGTGCCATTTGCAGGTCGATATCCATTGGAAAACTTCCATCGTCGAGCAGCATGCGCAGGTTGCCTCTGGATCCATATTCATACAGAAGCGAGACGCTGGCTCCATCAGGGCTTACTCCATAAAATCGGGCAGTATTGGGATGTTGCAGGTTCCGCATCTATGGATCATGGGTCAAGAGCATCAGTACGTAACGGTAGGTTCAATCTCTTGTAAATTTGTTCTTAAATAAACGTTTATACGAGTATTATGCCGAATTGCCATTATTCGCCAAGACTAACCTCTTCTGTTTTTGTTTAATCATATATATGCTTAACGTTCGTAATAGTTCTGGGTATGTGACAGTAAAAACATGCACAAACCGAATCTAGCGTCTGTCGAGCCAATTTAACGTTGTAGATCTGTCTGGGTGAAAGCCGGCAGGGAAAACATTCGGCCCATACAATTTTGTTTTGGTATAGCGACAACTTCGATAGCCATGGCAAGGACTGGGTGCTATACTGCGCATCGTCCGGCGTATATTGGCTGAGTACTTGGTGACCATGCAAATACCACCAAGGGTTATCTGATTCCTTCTTACGCAAATGCGATCTGAAATACAATCGTTCCATCTGAATGTCCTGGACCAGGACATATTATGGTTTGCATTATACACGGAGTGTGATGTTCTGTGTACGTTGTTGGCTCATGCTTTTGCAACAAATACCTGTAAAGAGCTACGACAAACATGACAACCAGCAACACCACTCCAGTAACGACTCCGGCAGCTGTAATCCATGTTGAATCTATTTTACGACAACAGATACATCATACATGTAAGTTGATGTAACGTTATAGACAATAAAGAGGGTTTACTCCCACGGCGATTACAACTCCAATTAGGTAACATAACTTTAGTACACAGGCCTTAAATATATATTTCTTGTATAATACACAGTATGGTTCTGCAATGCGGTTTTGCAAAGCAATAATCCTACCGGATTTATTGCAACGATTATCAAGGTATCCGCACAAGGGTTCGCAGAACAAAGAATTTGTGCAATGCGGTTTTGCAAAGCAATAATCCTACCGGATTTATTGCAACGATTATCAAGGTATCCGCACAAGGGTTCGTTAAGTGGCGGTCCGAATGAACTGCGCCATATGTCGGCCAATGGAGAAACTTTGGCCAAGCTTTTTGTCGCTGCGTAGAAGTGCCATGCTTCCTGTTCGAGAACATACGTAGAAATAAAAAAATTATCGTATTTTTGACAGTTTCCAAACTTTTTAATGGAATTAGCATGGTTTTTACCTCCATTTCTCCACTGGTTTGACTGATTCGGTAGAAGCAAACATCTCTCAAACGCATTCCATTGGAGCCAATGGTTACGTTACGCCAAGGAAAACTGAAGCTGCGGTTAAAAAATTGTTTGGCGAGTTCTCGCCCGCTAAGTGGCGAATTGTTATCGAAACAAGTAGTGTCTTTTGTTCTTTAGGCTTTACCATCGCCATCGCTGACATCATTTCGTAAGCCGACAAAGAAAAGTCATTCAGCTGAAAATTGAAAACTGGTTAACAAATTGTGAATGTACATGTGCACCATTTACTAATCCAAATTGATTTAGTCAGTACTGCAAACAACGAGTTTATGTTTGAACTGCAGTTGCAGCAGAATGAAGCTGGTCAAGGTTGTTGAAATTAGGCACCCATAGAATGCAGTGTGTGTTATTGGGCGTCAGCTCACTATAATGCACCGGGTCAATTGCCTAAACTGACCTTATCATCCATAGTGAAAGTCAGATTATATTCGTTCCTTGCATAAGTAGCAGCATCATCCAAAACGTCCATAATTTGATTCCACTGTGCACGTGGGTGTTCCCAGTAAATCAAGCTGCGGAAGGCTTCGAAGGCGATCTATATGCATTCACAAAAAGCTGTAATTTACTCGTCTGTAACCATATTATTGTCGTTATGGAGGGGTTATCGTACGGGGTCGTTACTGTCGTTAAATTTCCATGTCTGTTTCCCTTCGCCTGGTACAGGTCGCATGCGAGAAGACAAGAAAACCTACATAATGTAATTAAAAGTCCAGGTGCCTGGCGCAGTATTTACAGCGTCGTACTTACGTAATCGCCATTTGTCATATTCAGACGATAAGCTGTTATCTAAAACACAAACTTGCAGTAACCTTTCGTGGCAGTTGTACGGAAATAGCGTCCGGTAAAGAAATGCTATCCTATCCATGCGCCGTACGAACAACCGAGTTTATGCTGATGTCACCATTATATGTTTAAAATTATAGATATCCAAGATATGACATAGTCATTGTTGACATTCAGTAATGATGAGTGATAATTTGTATGTGCATAAGCACATTTCAAGGGATTAAAGATCAAATCTCACCATGATCTGTCTCACAATTTTTGGAATACTGAAAATGACGACCACTGCAACATACGAACTATGTAAACATAACTCCGTGCAAATCCACGTCATTCTGTCGCTGTTCCATATTGATTTCAATACCTCTTGCCCGACTTTGCACATCGATTAGAATGCTTGTGAAGTCACTGAAAGCCGGTGTGTCGAAAGAATACATATAAATACTGAACTGGCCTAGCCTGGTTTCCAACAGCCTTTTAACGCTGCGGCAGGACAGGTAAAAGAAGGATCCCAAGCCTGGGTACTGATTTAAATCATCACAAAAGAACCCCACCGTCTGCCATTTGTAGCGTTGTAAAAACATTTGAGCGGCTAACGAAATGGACGAAAGGTCTGGAGGCCCACACGTCACAACCGTCGGATACCGAGCTTTATTAGCTAAGGCTTGATCTCCAGCCGTGCTGCAAGTTGGCGTACAGAGTTAAAATGCATGCCCCATGGTTTCCTTGTTAATTTATTTAATTTTTGTCGTACCTCGACATGGTTAAAATGTTCCACTCTGTAAAACCAGATAACCTTTCAGAAACCGAACTCTATCACTGCCGATTTCCATGGTATTTCCATGGTCTGAAACAGTTCTCTCCCTACCTCTAACAAAGTCACCAAGGAACATCATTTCCTTACTGCAAGCTGAAAAGTATTGTCCGCTTTGAGCAGCGTGGTTTTAAAAAGAGTCAGAAGTTTTGTATTTTCTATTTGAAATTTTTCTTTAATGTACAGTATTTATTTAAGGATGTTACGATTAGATGGTAGTTACCCGGAGTTAATATTACAGTCACTCCTTTCAGTTCGGTGAGGATCTGGCCTACTTTTCCGGCAAGCGGAATCATGGCGTCAGCAGCAGCACACGTGAAGCTTCCCGGCAGATACATCGTATGCGTAGAAATATTTGAAAAGACATGCGGATAACGTTGTCGTAGACGGTCAAACGCTACGATGTACATCGGGATCGTGGTCGTGTATCCGTATACGTAAGCCGGTGTTCGCCCAATAGCGACCAGTATAATATTTAGCTGATGAAACGCCTCTCCAAGTCCGATAAAGGTTATCACGGTGACGCTCCATATCAACACCTCCTTGACAAGCATAATACGCAGATCAGATCAACGTCTTCTGTCATTAACAGAATTTTACTACCCCACTGCGATTCGTATCCGTTGTATCGAAAATTGCCGTATCCGGCGTATAACCAGTGAGACCGTTGTAGAAATTCGGCGCGGAAGTTGCTGATGTATCACTGTTTTTATAAAAGCTTCTATTTTGAATATTGCTAATTAATAATTATTATTAACCGCTCATGTATTCAACAGCATACTGCTCGCCAGTACTCAATGCGAAAAGCACTGGTCTACTGCATGCCAGTGTACGGCAGGGGATAAAAGGTGGCAGTGGCACCTGCCACTGGCAACTGCCACTGGCAGTGGCTGTTGCCACTACGCGTTCTGGCAAGCGATAAAACGTGGCAGATTGCCGGAATTTTTAAACGTGATGGCTCTGCCATCCAACGATAATTTTTTAAAAAATTACTTAAAAAAATGCAGAACGAAGTAATAACGCGTAAGTAGCAAGAGAACGCGTAAGTAGCAAGAGGTTAATCTATACGATTAACCTCTTGCTACTTACGCGTGACATTGTGAGAGGCGTGCGTACTGCATACTGTACGCATCCAAATGCCGTAAGCGCAGGAAGGTTTAAATCCCAAGTGTCCCACAAATTTTTACACAGTAAACAAGGGCGATCAACATGAATCGTATAATTAGGGAGAACCTAATCCATAAATGAATAATTAACTCTATCACTTCCAGTTCCAGATAAACACGGCTTGCACCAAATATGTTTATCAAACTATACGAGAACCCAACGAACTCGTGGTGTGCTT